TCAGCCAAACTGTCCCTTACGATTTTAGCAAGAATGAATTGAGTGAGTTGGCTAAGAACAATCACACAAGCACACAATTAATTGATAAGATTTCATTCTGAGAAAAAATGCCCCGCGCCTCCGCAATCAAGGCGAGCAAGACTTTTAGTGGGGCCTTGCGCAACCTTGTACAGTGCCCCTCGCCAATCGAGGGGCAGCCATTTGACAACGGTTCAAGTAATGGCATATGAACCTAGGTAACCTAGGATTGTTGGCGAGATCATCAATATAAATGTAAATATAAATATAACCATTTTCATCGATATTTTCATCCATAAGTACATTAACTTTAAGTTCCTAAAAATAAATTCGCCTCGGTGACTCCCTCCCATTGATAGGTGCTCCTTGTTTTACTTTTCCAAAACTTTTTATACATCCAAGTTATAACTAGACCCGAGGAAGATGCTCTCTAAACTCTTCTATCTGATCCAGCAGCTTGTGACTTCTCTCGAAGGTCCTTCAAGCAAGGCGCATGAAACATTTCTCCTGTGATAGCAAGCTTAAGAGTTCTTGTCGCGACAACAACCCATAGTAAGACCACCGCGAGCGAGATGATCTGCCACAAAGTTAACGTTTTATCTCAAAGAAAGAACCATGTCACATTACCATCGTAGCAACCTTGAAGAAATCGCTATCAAGGTTCTCCGCTAGAGCATTGGAGCACGTTGCCAACACACCGAGTGGAAACGTATAACCCCAAGCTCCTAAATTGCGTGGTACATTTGGCATCATGGCGATGCTGATAAGTGCGAAGGACAGCCACACAAGTGCGAACCCCCACATCACAATACCAAAGAAGACTCCCAGAACATACAAAATCTCGCCAGCTCGCACAGCAACTTCGCCAAAGGCATTGCTCTTGGGAATTACGTGCATGGCCACCTTTCCAAGCTGCTGGATTCCGAATCCTCCTTGTCCAAGAGGTCCTATCGGTAGGAAGACGCTGACAATAACCTCCTTGGGTGGGATGGAATGGATCGTGAGTCGATGGAAGTATAGCGCCAGCACAATAGCTGAGAACGATTCTCCGATTCCCCAAAGTACATAGGAGGCTATCACAGTCGTCAGAGCGTGGTGGTGGTTGGGAAGCTCCTCTGCAACTATGCCGCCCGTTGCGGCTGCAACGACAGCCGGTACAATTGGAAGCAGCAGAGCCGCAGTGATATTTTCGAGGCCAGGACGGTGGCGGTGCATGACTATAAAGGGCATGCTGACGCAAGTAGCGATGGAAACCCAAACGTCGAACCACCATAAGCTCCAGGCTAGATAGATAACCCAGTCACCCCAGTGCTTGCAGCTGAACACCATCATATTTATGATAGCTGCGCAAACGTCAGCAATTATCAAGCCAGTTCTGCTGGAAGAAACTCACTCGCAAGCCCCATAGGAAAGCAGCCAAGGAACAGGGACTGGCCAGGATGCGAGATCATGGCAGACCAGATGGTTGGGTACAAGGTGTACCGAGCGATGGACAAGGCAGTAAAGACAGTGAAGAGAACGACATTAAGCCCAAAGAAGATATACGACATATACTGAAGCCATATCGCATTGTATGGAAGGTTATGTAGCAGTATGGACACGATACCAGTGCCCATATTGACTGCAAACCATCTTTGTAATTCGTGTCAGTGACTCTTGTGTTAACGATTCAGCTATTGTGTTAGGGATCGTACTTACGAAGGCGTGAAGTTGCGAATGACCCTCCTCCATCCGGTTTCCTCTTTACACGGCAGAGTTGACTCGCATGGTTTCGGAGTAGAGCCGTTATAGGCCGCTTGAACTGTACCGGTGGACGCTGTCGAGTTACAGTCAGGCATACTGAAAGTACAAGTGTGTACTGGGCAACGTGTAACGTGAGCTGCTGATCGATGACTATCTGCCAGACGCTAAACAGGGTTTCGACGAATGTCCGTTTCAAGAGTCTAAATTATAAGAGAAAGTAAAAGTGATGTGAGACTTCGAACGACGATACGTATATGAATGCTCAATTACTTGATGAGCTGGGTTGTACATTTGACATGAATGAACGAATTGGTAGAATATCAATAAGTGAAAGAAAAAAGGCTTTACTAATATTATCGGAGCAAACCATAAAGTAATGGAAGCCCGTGAGCGCCGTAGAGGTCATGGCTAGCGATTCTGTTAGCACCGAGATCCGCTAATCGCCTCCTCTGAATAATGCCAAGCTCCACATTGAACCTCAACCGGTAGTGGCTTGTGAGCGGTAGATGTCACAGTGGGTATACCGCCATATGTAAGTTCCATGGGAATTGCGTGCTCATGCAGAAGAAACCTGCCAATTCCAAAATTATATTTGTTTTCGAAGACGAAAGGCTACATAAAAACTCCGGACCTTGAACCATCACAATAATCAGCTTTACCCATATCCCTGGAAATGACCAGACTCTAATCTCTTTGTTGGCCACCGCGAGTCGTATACCGCAAGATGCTCAAGAACCTCGGAGGTTTTAGCGTCGTTGCACCCAACCAGTACCCTGAAATCAGCTCACAGGACCAGCATTGGATCGCCGACTCAAAGCTCGCCGACTAAACCCAGCTCAGTCGGCCTCTTCCGCCCGTGAGATGATGTCGATAGTAATCCACGGCCCACACTAAGATGCGGTGATACAATCTGCCGTCTTGTCAAAGCCCGGATCTGACCCATGGCAATCAAGGATGGGCGGCCACAGACGTAGTGAGCCCCCGCCCAGCGGTCTGGTAATAAGGAGTCGTGTTGTCTTCCTTCTTGTCAGATACCCCTTTACCTTTGAACAATTCTGAGCGAAAGAGTGTTAGTACTCAAACATAACATCAATCATAAGCAAACATGGCTATCGGAATCTTCTCCAGCCCTGCGATCATTGACCACAGTGGGATTCCCAATGTTGGCCCCTGCCAGCGTAATCGATTCGAAGAACTCGTAGTCCGCCTAAAGGACGCCCTTGGCCCATCATCAGGCTTGACTTCGGAAGATGTGGACGTCGATTATCTCCAACAAATGATGGAGGGCTATGATAGCTCCGATAACCAATGGGGTGGATATGCTTTTGGCGATAGTAGCAGATGCTATACCCGCAACCTCGTCGACGAGGGAAACGGCAAAAGTAATCTGGTAAGAGATCATCCAGTTCAACTTTGACCAGTGGAAATAGAACTGACGCCTGGCCTTGCATAGCTTGTCCTCGTTTGGTCTCCAGGAAAAGGGTCACCTATCCACGATCATGGAAAGGCGCACTGCTTGATGAAGATTCTCCACGGCAATCTGACCGAGACTCGATACGCTTTCCCGGAAAATAATCAAGTGGAGGGGTCGATGAAAGTCATAGCCGAAGCGACATACAAGTCGGGCGAAGTGGCATATATGAGTGATGACCTTGGTCTGCACCGTGTCTCGAATCGTGGCAGCGACTTTGCTGTCTCTTTGCATTGTAGGCAATTCCCCAAACCACGACACTTGTCGCTGTAACTGACATGCAACTTTGCAGTATACACTCCTCCAAATGTAGCCAAGAAAGGATGCCATATCTTCGATGAGAATACAGGACGAAAGAGCCATGTGCCTGGCTGTCACTACTACTCAGCATATGGGCGGCTGCTCAAGGAGTAGTTGACGAGGGTACGGCTTGAATAGCCAGATCCGTTATGAGAAACGACCTTGACTTGATGTTGTCTGCTGGTGCTTCATCAAGATTAGTTCTGAGTAGCCCGGTAATGATAGTTGGCATGAGGGAGAGCATATTTAGTTAGCAGGCATTTGCGGTATTCGTATAGCGTGGTATAGCATAATCTAGAATGTACAGCCTTGAACTTGACGAGACCCGCATTCATCGAAAGAATGGATAATGAATGGCAATAGTGCATGGTTATTATTATGAAGGAGGAAGAGTCAATTGACTGACTGACCGTTTACTGTTGTCCTGTATTGCTCTTGCCAAAGAATGAGCACGCAATCCACGCTTTGTCCCAGAATGGCAATTGGGTCTAAACTCGCCATACCGAGCCGTCCCGACAGCCGATTACACCATTTGACAATGACTTCAAGGCCAGGAATTATATCGTATCAAGAAGGAATTATCAAAAGACAGATGATCTACACTGCTCGTCTAATTAGTAAGTGAAGTATACGACTTGGTAGCGAAAGAAATAGCTGATGTTCGCTTGTCCCGACAACCGAATATTCTGGCATGACCGGATCCTGCAATTATACAAGTGTCGCCTTCGATGCCGTGTATAGACTTTGGCCAACCAATCAAGATACTTCTTATAGGATTAATCATTCGAGGTTCCATTTGCTTGCCTCGAAACAACAGCTAGAGCTACCTAGTTATTCATGGGAGCCTCTACTGCTATTGGTCTCTTCAGACCTTTTGTCATTAGAGCAGGATACCACTTGACAAACAGTACCTTGATATAACTCGAACGCTAGTAGTTCTTGATGTACCTTCCTAATTCTGTATCTTCAAGGATTTTAGCTCATACTGCTTGCACGCTCAAAGTCATGAAATGTTCTGTGCTCAACCCCTCATCAACTTATGCGCCGTCACGTTACTGGAGCGCTTCAGCATCGGCAAGGGTGCCCAGATCCAGGCTCAGAGATCTACCATTAAACTATCAAACTATTGTCTTGAACCGACTGATTGGATTGGAACTGGAGTTCAAGACATGGTCTGTTTAAACCCCCAGGTTGAGTGTGTGAGGAGAGGCGGATTGATCGTCGTAACCACGGGGAATAGCATGGGACGAACTCGCAATAACATCGGATTGGAGTCTAAATATCGGCCATTCATCACTTTTGATGCTTGTAGCTCTTGCAAGGATCAATGTGAGATGATTAGTGGACAATTAAGTAGCTTGGTGGTTTTAGTCGATGACTGGCCTACATAAATAGGGATCTAAGCCTCCGAAGCCATACCTTCACTGATGCACTACAGTCCTCCTCTCTAAAGGCCATTCTTTCCAAAATGCGTGTCATCAAACTCTTAACTACCGCCTTCTTCGTGTCCTTTGTTGAAGCTGTTCCGGCTCAGAAGCCTGCAGAAAAGGAATTCGTCGGGTATCTCATCTCGACCTTTAGTGACCCAACTCCAGAAGTCCAATGGCATCTTTCAGATGGAAAATCAGCATCAAGCTTCAACTTCTTGAACAGCGGTAAACCAGTCTTGACGAGTAACGTCGGTACCAAAGGCGTCAGGGATATTTTCCTCGCCGCAAACAGCAAGCGTTCCGAGTACTTTACCATTGCCACCGGTACGTCATTAAAACATGAAAAGAGATCTATCACTAATCTTTGGTATAATAAATAGACTTGGACATCAACGCCCCAGGTTTTTCTTGGGACTGGGCTACGCGGAATGGAAGTCGGGGCCTTGTTGTCTGGTCTTCGAAGGACCTTGTCAAATGGTCAAAGCCTTCACTAAGAATGTAAGTGATCAGGAACCGTTCTAAAGATAGAGATCGAACTAATTCCCAGTAGTGTCGAGTCCCCTACTGCAGGCATGGCTTGGGCGCCATCCGTGGTATGGGATGATGCTACCAATCAATACTATGTCTTCTGGGCATCAAGACACTACGCTTCTTCTGATACCGAACACAAAGGCGAAGCAACCCTGGACAAGATTCGGTTCGCCACAACCAAAGATTTTGTCAAATTCAGCGACCCCAAGGACTATCATGCTCCAAAGGACACCGGCCTGATTGACCAGGAGTTCCAGTACCTCGGCAAGCCAGGCCATTTTGTCCGTTTTCTCAAAAACGAAACCATCAATCAAGTATACCAAGAAAGCACAACAACTGGTCTCTTTGGGACGTGGACTCGTGTGCCAGGATATGTTCGACCTGAATCCCCGCTCGAAGGACCTGGCTCATTCGCCGATCTTCGCACCCCCGGACTGTATCATCTGCTTCTTGATGACTATACTCAGTATATTCCCTTTCAGACTTCTGACATTTTGTCTCCAATGTGGGAGAAGTCAGACTTTCCTGAATTTCCCAGGGGTTTAAAGCATGGTTCCGTGACCCCTCTTACCAAGAAAGAGTATGATGCAGTTGCTGCGAAGTATGGCAAATGAGTGGCTTACCTGTCTGAATACCATGGGAGAGTCCAGTATTTTCCCACAACGAGTACCGCCTCCTAGCCAGTTGGATAATAGATGGACGTGCAAGAGCGGGAACGAGATATGATAGTACGCTTGAACGACTTTTTGCTTGTGTCTGAACTCTTGGACAACTTCAAGAACTCAGTATCTTGATCCCGATTAAAACGAATGAGTTCTCATCATCATATTAGTCGCATGTTTCCCCCAGGTGTCCACTTTCATTTTGATGATTGGAGTTATGTGTCCGACGATGATTGTGAGCTTCAGAAGTTGAGGTGTTCTTCAATGGAACTCACTAACTTAAACTACAAGGTATATATAGACTATCGGCGCCTGGAGCGCTATAGGTACCTAGCTATTGAGCCAACTATGCTATTGATGAGCCACTGCGCGCACAACACAGAAACATTACCTAGAATCTAATTTATAATTATAATGTACATTTCTGCCAGTGCTGCTGAGAGATTTGATAGTGTGTTGCCTCTATGAACATGCAGTGCTGGTCAATACATGCTTACGTTAGCGGCCGGCGGTTTCCGACGGTGTGCGTGGTTTTCTCACTTTCACCAATTACTTCACCTCATCCACAGAAACTTGAGCAATGCCGGGCAAAAGAACACAAGATCAAAGCAACACTCCACAAGCACCCGCAGGCGATCAGGGTCCAAGTACGGCACCGCAAGGAGATGATGAGCCTACCAAAAAACGACGACGTCGAATCCTCTCCTGCGACGCTTGCCGAAGACTGAAGACAAGATGTGAAATCGAGTATGGCTCAGATACTTGCTCAAGATGTCGAAATCTGAGGATTACCTGCTTGAAAAGCGACGATCTAGAAAAGCCAAATGGGACCAAAGAGACAAATGCAACTACACAGTCAGATCTCGTAAAAAGGTCATTCATTTTGTCTGCTCATGGAAATAAGCACTGTTAGTTAACTTTGCGTCAGTCTCCATCGAAAGGTTCTGAATCTCGAGAGCTCAATGCAAGATATGAAAGTACAATTGGCGAATCTTCAGTCTCAGCCTCAAAGAGAACAGCCACAACCACAGATAGAACAGCAAAACATCTCACCTGCAGTATCAACCAATGATCGAGTCCTAGTTGACCAAGTCGAACCAGCTGACCAACACGTTCATGCTGCCCCGGCAGAAGTCATCAGAAGGGTGGCTTGTCAAGTGGTAGGGGACTATAGAAGAGCATTTCACACCAAAGAAGATGTTGTGTCGATAGGGATGCTAAGCTCTGCAACTGCAGACTCTCTAGTCAAAGCGTAAGGACAAAAGTCTCTCTCGTTGATGGTCGTGCTCATACTGTAACAGCTTTATAAAAAGACGTCGACATGTTCTTTTCATAGATAGTGAGAGCGATTTAGTCACAAGAGGGAATCTGATCCAGACCTCCCCATTTCTCCACGCAGTATGCTGCACACATGAGATGAGATATACACACCGGAATCAGCCAGATGCGTTGAAGCACAGACAAGTATATGAGCACGTAAGGACAATGCTAGGACAGGTGATGCTCGCAAGTCCTTTGCACCTGGAAGAAATAACTGGTGTTCTTATAAGTTCGCTCTTTGCAGGGTCGCCATCTGTAAGACATCCATAGCCCCATGCTGTGTTTCAGCTTCGGGTTCACCGCATAGCTAACTGGATGTTCAGTTCGAGGCGGAATATGTTGATAGTTGGCTTTTGAGTGGACATTGTGCCCAACAAGCCATGTTGTGCATCCAGTTTTCAGACATCATCAAGCGAAATAGTGCTGGCACTTCTACCATGCTCGATCTTCGTTCGATGCGACTCTGGGCCCATGTTTGCTTAGTGCACCTACAGTGAGTTTAGATCGTAATAACTCCTTGCTGACTTGGGGATTCTAACCCATTGAAAACAGTTGGTCAGCTACTACAGGAAGGCCATCGATACTGCCAGGATCCTATCTCAGTCAGTGCAGAAATCTGCTCAACTTTGAGCAGGCAACAATACGTGACGCTATGCTGTTCGCTGAGGTATCTCTATACTGTACGCTTCAGCAGGATGTTTGTGGAAAGCCTGACTTTGCCAATGATGGCAGTTGTGAGAAATTCACACCCTGGAAGCAGAAATGGGGGTATCTTCTTGGTGAGTGCCTTGGTTCGATCTTATGGAGAGTGAACACAAGTTATTAACTCTCACAAGAACTCCCTACAGGCCTGATACTGAATCTTAGTTATTGGATCGCAAACATGATCTTGGCTAAACGATCTCTTGATGAAATTGAAGCTCGTGCCTTAAGCGCTCCTACATCTGCCTCCCCACAAACACCCCATGGAACCACGGCACACTTTCAAGCCATACCAACAAAAGATCTGCAAGATCAAGTTTACGAGCTAAGTTTCCAAGTCACTTTAGCTTTCGTGGGGATCCCAAGCACAAGCTCGGGAGACCTGCCCGAGTTTCATTCCTTGTGTGTCGCCTACTCCATGCTCATTCTCTGTCAGTACGATGAGTTGCCTTCTTCGATATCCCACAATGAACTCTTCTCTGCCTTGAACGAAGTAAAGTGTCGTTGTAATGAATCGAATGCATATTCTGTGGCAGTTGAGTTCAGTGCTGAGAGGGCTTTGGAGAGGCTCAGAGCAGATACTCATTCCCTTGCCACGACAGAATCGGTGGGACAACAAGCACACTTCAATGGCCCTCCTAGTCACTCTCAGAACGCTGGAATCAACAGGACGAATGTGAATATCAATGAGACCGGGCTTGATAATCTCGACTTTTTTTTCAATGGCGGCTATCTGGATATTCTAGACATTGACAATTTCATTCTCTGATACGATTAATTGAGTAAGAATACATACCTTACGATATTGACCTACACCACGTATCAATTAAAGTACATTCATGAAAGGGTATATAGTCTCCTGCCCCCTTCCCAAGTTGGTTTAAATACATAAATATTCATCATCACCCAAACCATTGCTTTATTCTCATAACCATAGGCGTCCAGTACAGTGTATCCAAACTGTCTCTCAAATAATGATTGAAGCCATATGTTGCTGCGTTGGCGAATCCAACAAACTGTGTCGAGGTATTCAAAGCAGCAATGGTTGTTTCTGAAACAGGCGTTCCCAGTGCTTCGAGCAATCTGTTGACAAGCCCCGGTGTCCATAGAAGAACATACATGAACGGATACCCGTTCAATAACATCATTCTCTTGATTTCAACTTCAACATCGTGGGTTCCTCGACGCTGGGGGAATTCGCTGGCATTGGTTTGTAGAACGTTGGTGCAAGCTTGTTGTGAAGAGTGTGGTTCTTGAAGAGGTTCAATATTAGCAACTCGTGTATAAGCCAGATCTGATCCTCTTTTAGACGAAGTTGGCCGGTGGCGGACCGGCCCTCCTATTTCTTCGCCATCGCTGGCTTTTCTCTCACCTTGAGTCTCCAATCCCGCATCGCGAATCTCTTCGATTTTGTCTCGCTGCAACGTGTTCCAAAAACTTCTTCTCTGGTCAAACATAGTTGGCGAATTAGGCACGATATTCGGCTGGAAGGCTCCAAAGGTGTCAAGTTCTAGGTTGTCTTCCCTCATAACCCGGAAGCCCATCTCTTTTGAGCCTTTGGAGAACACACTGTTGGTGTTGTGGGTTGAGTATGAAAGAGGCTGTCGTGTCCTTTTGCTCTGGGGGCCGAGGTGTCGTCGCAGGTAGATCCAGATGTAGATATATATGACAATAGTTATGAAAATAATAAAGAAACGCCAGCCATGCGTCAATCCATATCGTAAATCGGATCGAGTCGATGATATCCAGCACCAATTGCCACCAACAGGCTCCATCTCACCTACGATAGTCGGAATGAGACTTGTGATTAGTGGCATGATCCATATTGCACCACAAATGAGTGTCTTTCTTGTTTTTGACGTAGTTGGGATATACAAGTAGCGAGTGACTGTGAGGAGAGTGGTCACAGAGATTGCCAGCACCGAAAAGTCAGATGCTGATACTGAGAGTTGACCGATAAATCCATTGATAACACATGGTGTTCCTGCTTTGAGCTGCCCAGTTTTGATAAATATGATTCCAGACACAGAGTTGTTGAGGGTATTGGTGAATTCTGTTACAAAGTTAGCCTCTCATGTGTCAAGGCATAAGATGCTCTACACACCAGCAACCATCAGATTCAAAACAAGTACGTGGCGGAAATTTTGAAGATGTCGACGATAAATGGCAAAAGATACCAGGACACAAGTTGTCGCTACACACGATAACAGGCTCCCCGCCAAGGTGACAGATGAAATTACCCTGTCAACCTTTTCTGCCATAGTGGCCAGTTCTTGGGGTTCATAATAAGGACTTTAAAGGACGGACAGATAAACAAAGTTTAAAGAGAAAGGGCCGACCGAGTGTCAAGTTATATCTCCGTATTAGTCTTCGTATATCTATCCGCAATGTAACCAGGGTGAGACCGGGGAGCCCAGTCCCCGAACTTTACTATGGAACTAGTCTCGGTATCCCCGTTGGGAACAACGTTTTCTTTTCTTCATCAAGAAGAGCAGAGTAACAGTTATATGATGTCAGGAGGAGCATCGCTTTTGCACAAAGGTTTATGTACCCGTTTTAGAGGTGAAACCCGTCATGACTAACTTGACACCACGAACATTTCGGCTTTGTTGGAAGTCTAGTCAATGTATGTTTTCTAGTAACGGTCAAAATAGAGTTTAATGGTGCTACAAACTATGGCTAAGCGAGTTTGAGAAGGCTTGTCATTGCAGGGACAGCTTGGATAAATAGACATGGCTATAATTAATCGGAAGTCGGTCAACAAATCACAGCTCAACAACAAACTTTGCGAATCCCTTTCCCGGAGATCATGACTACTTTGAGCCCACCAGGCGGAGTTTGACGGAGTCGGTCCTCGGATATCTTGGTCGTCTAGCGTGGCCTTACAGGGCAATCCGAGTGTTGGGACGAATACGTAAGGAAATGAATTTGGGGTTCGTTCAATTGAGGACTGAAACTGATGGTTTACTCCTGCATGGCAAAACAGAAAGACTGTCTGTTTAGAATTGGGTCTGTTTTTCAACAGCAACTCCCCACTTCCTTTAATGATGCCATAGCAGCCTTGGTTAAATAACTAGCAACATTGTCATTATATTATGTTTACTCTCGGAAATGCTGGGTTCTCCCTACCTGGCTATTCTTCGTCGCCTTACCCATACAGCTCCCTTGCAACCTCATAGCTATTGATAAACTCAATTTGCTCTTTTCTCCAAATGTCGTCCTCTACCCAATTCTTGGTGGCATTGAAAACCATATTCTTAGGTTTTGACATGTTATACTTTGGCCACTTTGGCAGTTTACCCTTGCTTGATCCTCGTGGGTTGGGATCGAGGCTGTTGACAAATCGCACGTACGCTTGTCCAATATTGTGAGCGAGCTCAGCGTGACTATCATATTCAGGGCTTGGGCCAAGAAGACCAGAGATATTTTGGAAGCTGAAAGCGACGTTGTCGAAATGCTTAACACCCTCCCATTCAGGTCTCCGGTACCACCTTTGGTCGAAGCGGTAGCTGTATACGGCCTCGTCTGACTCTGCGAATAATTCGGTCAACTTGCGGCGTCCAGATATCATGGCGATATCACCACCAATTGCACACGATCGTCGGCCTTGGTAATTGCCTACGGGCCGCGAGCAATTCGTGATGTGGTATGGTGGTTGGTGACAAGGATCGTCGGGATAAAGCTCAAGCAACTTTCGAATCGTCGGAGCACTCAAGGCGTAGTTTCGCCATCGGAAAGCTTCGTGGAAGAGATCCTCTGTCGTATTGGCCGCTCCCACACAAAAGCCTTCGTCAGTGTTGGCTCCAATTATGCTTGGTACGGAGACGAATTTCTTTTCCCGAATGAGTTGGCTTGGATATCCCTTGAGGAACGTGCCATCGATCAAAGGGTTCCAAGTCAAGGAAGGACGTGCTGCATATAATGCCTTCTCATCGAGTCCTCGAAGACACGACAGTTGATCTTTCTTGTCCCAACAACCAACTGTTCGCGTGAGATTTTCAAAAGCCACGTTGTAGTAGCTTAGATCATGGATCTAGTCAAGAAGAATTAGTAAAGCTCAAACAAACAAGCCTGCTATCCTACCTGGGCACCTGTGATCCCGCCGCTCTCAAGAATAGCTCCACGATACAGCTTCTCATCTTGGCCATCAAAACTGAACATCTGATAAGCAATAGACTGTGCTCCTGCACTCTCGCCCCATACAACAACTCGCTCTGGATCTCCCCCAAAGGCTTCAATGTTCTCTTGGATCCAGCGGAGAGCAAGTCTTTGGTCCAAGAGGCCAGCATTGGCATTCCCTTCTTTGAGAAGGTTGAAATTCTGAAGAAATCCCCACATTCCAAGTCTATAGTTGAAACTGACGGCTAGAACAGGCTCTTTGATATCTTGACTGACTTTGACAATTCCTGATAGGTTATACTGAGGATCTGCTGAGCTACCGGCGTATAAACCGCCTCCATAAATCCAAACTCTGTGTCCAGTTAGTTTTGCCATATCAACATCATCTCTTGTGTGGCACTTACAGGACTGGGAGGAGCTTCTTGGGCCTCCCTGCTGGTCTAATAATGTTGATAGAAAGGCAATCTTCAGACATGGTCCAGTTCTGTGTGTATTGCATACAACTGTCGCCGTATTCAGTTGCCATGCGTTCTTCGTCAAAGGAAGTGCTCAGACTCTGTGGCCATTTGAACCTCAGGTTTCCTGTTGGTGGCTGAGCATAAGGGATTCCAAGAAATGCATCTTGGTCCCAACCGGAAAGATGTTTGCCGGCATATGTTCCGTTCAAGGTACTGGCTTTTGGTGAAGCAGCACTGATTATCTGGACAAAGATAATCAAGAAAAGAACATGCAATATTGAGAGCATTTTGAACATCGCTATGACGGCTTATGAGAAAAGATTGAAATTAGATCCAGTCCCTGTAAAGTACGCCAACCCCGAGTTAGAGCGGTGGGCAGCACTTATAAGCTCCATGCAGCCTACATTTTGTATGTATCTTAGGACCTGAGACTAATTCATTAAACAACCGAACAAGGGCTGTCGAGAATGGCATTCTTCAACAACGGCTTGATAATTTCCACCAACGATAGACCATCGATGACTTCTATCTCTAGCGTAGTAGCATTGCCTAAGTAAAGCATGAGATCAATTTGGAGCATTCCCCGCGTTAATAGCTAGGGTTTGCGTCGATCTGGGGTCGTGAAGGCGGAGTGCGGAGTTGGTACACGATGGGAAAGAGACTTCATCTTGAATTTAAAAGGCATCGTGTGTTGATGATATTGCTTTCATAGACTCTGCGGCAGGTCATGTTGACTAAATGCGCTAAGCTTGTTAGAGATGCTTCGTATCTCGGGCTTCATGTTTGCTTGAAAGGACTTTCCAAGTAGTTGCTGTCTTCTTTCTCGGTAGCAATGCACCATCTTTGTTAGGCAAATTGCTAGTTTAGCCATTGGTAAACAGTAGCACTAACATGATCCATGTCTTGTACTGATTCGGCAAATAATTTCCCCACCAATCATCATCCTCTTCCACACCAGAATCCAACCTCGATTCTCTTTTGGACGCGGAACTCTGTGGTATCTGCCGAGATAGGTATCTGCCAGTTTATTCTGTCCCATCAGGGACTAAATTGAAATTAAATCTGACCAGCCCCGTGACAACATCCATCGTGTTTTTCCTCCTCAAATAGTGAAAACCATCGAGCTCCGCCCTCTGCTCCGCCGTCCCGACTCCCAGCTGTTCAAGGACTTCAGCGACTACTGCGTATAAGATTTCAAGATTTCCATCCTCGACTTTTGCAGCAATACCAATTGCGCCTGTTGCCCCAAGACGTCGAGTATCTGCTGATTCTCGGATACCGACTCCGTAACAAGCATCGGCACCAACCTTGCCGAACAGTTGCCCCTTGTAGCTCTGCATGAGCACGGTGCAGAAACGTCCCGTTCCGCCGACTTGTTCAGGATATTGTGTCATGGCATTGAAAACGCGTGCGAGGTTGTAAGTTCTCTGTGTTGTTGCCACATGGGTTTCGACAGCGTCTGCTGCTTCTGCAAAGATTGTAAAACTGTTGGCCATGTCGTAGAGAGGGTACGCTGGCGCTGGGAGGTTGCATCCATCAACGCCCCATCCAACTTGTTTTGGGTCGAGTGACAGTTCTTCAACAACTCTTTTGACTTCAAGCTGCATAGGATGATCGGATTGATGGTAGTTTTGCACTTCAGCGCCCAATATCTCGGCGCCTGCCATCATAGCGACATGTTTTCCAGAACAATTGTTACAGATGCCTGTCGGTTCGAATCCAGCTTTGATCCATGCTCGATTCACTTCCTCTGAAACTGCAGAATGACCGCCACATTGAAGATCCTTTTCCTCGGCTCTGATCTTGCTGAGCATAGTCTTGGCGCGCGCAATATGAAAGTCCTCACTGTTGTGTGAAGCACACATAAGGGCCAAATCAGCATCATTGAATCCAAATTTTTCAACTGCGCCGGTCTCAATGACAGCTACAGCCTGAGTGGGCTTGGCTGCTGATCGAGAGAGAGTCATTCGAGAAGGGTTTCCAGCTGAATAGAGGATGTTTCCTTTTGTGTCGGTCACTGCGATATGTACGCCATGGGTGTTTTCGATAATGCCACCTCGATCAGTGACCACACAATCTTGGTCGGGCAGTGTCATTCGTGTCATTTTGGAGTCAAGTTTATGATGAGTGGATGATTGTCAAGTTCTGGTCTTCGTCTTGCCCCGTATTTTTTGCTACCAGCAAGCAATAGGTCAACTACTTACTTTAGTAGTCGTAATATACTTATGTAGATAAGTCGCATCTTCCTTGCATCTCAAAGGCCAGCCAATCAAGCAATGCCAAGCGCCTCGTGAGTCACAGCGAGAGGACGTGGATGGAATCTTCGTCCTTGACAGTGAAAGAAAGGTGCTTGAGCTGATGATAAAACATCGAATGCTCCATCTCGAATAAGCGACTCGGAAAATTGCCTGATCAGGAGTATAACTTGAATGTTTATTCTGATGATCAGATTTGCCGTGACTCACAACAGGAGCGAATCAGAATTGACGCCTTCAACCCCCAATAAACTTTGAGACACAATTATCGGGAATAAATGAAATTATGGAACCTAAGAATGGAGACTTTTGGGGGTCGTTCCTGGTGCCAACGTTAGTGAGTTTCAGTAGGTATGTATCCCCCACGTGACCCGAGCCGAACCTCCAAATTTCCAACGGTCGGTGTCTTGACCGTTGTACGTACTAAACTATCATCTCTCGACAGGGTCTCAGACTAAAAATGTTATTAAATGATGGGACGGAACATTATCAACCTCTATTATTGACTTATGCCAAGTCGATAAACGGGCTAAACTCTAAACGAAATCTCCTATTCCATCATTTTTAGCATCGTTACGTTACCAGCCACACCCACTACGTCACATCGATGCTGTGATCCCTGTCTGCAGTACAGAGAAACAGGATTCTAGACCCATCGATACCTGGCAGAGTCGTTTTTATGACGATTTGCGCGTCAGCCTCTGTTCTTGTTTGAGGGGAGCAAGAGAAAGCAGGAAAATAATTATCTGTGAGTTTACATATATTTAACAATTCTATTGTATTTGGTGGAGTTTCTCTATCCTTCTCTTTACATCTTCCCTCTACCACCTTTTCAATCAATCACCAGACTCCCACCACACACTATCGCCAATCAACATGTCGTCATCTTCCGTATGTACCTCGACTCTACCGCAACCCAACCGATCATCGCACAGCCACTAACTTCCCTTACCAGGCCGAGCAGAGAAGCGATCTCGAAGAGGAGCAGGTCGATCAGGAGAAGCCTCAGCGCAAGACAAAGACCAAGAAGTCCAAGGGCGAGCGACGCAAGCGACGTGCCCGATTCGATGACTACGATGACGAGCAGGACAACAGCCAGATGGCCCAGAGCAACTACAATACCCAGCAACAGCAGATGCAGCAGCAGCAACAGCAGCAGATGCAGCAGCAACAGCAACAGCAACAGCAGGGTGGTGGTGGCGGAAAGAGTGATGCTCTCAGTCTGCATCTCGAGTTGAACCTCGAGATTGAGATTCAGCTTAAGGCAAGAATCCATGGTGATCTTACCTTGTGTCTGCTGTAAGTTCCCTCTTGACATTGCGATCAATTGCCTAAAATGATCATTACTAACGTTCGCAGCAACTAAACGCCACGACTCGGTGTACTCTATTATAATGTTCATAAACACTGCCTATGGATGACAAACGACTGTTGGAATTAAACACGGCGTTGGGGGTTTATGACTGGATTGCATTTCCTTGGATATATACATATACACACACATGTGCTGGTACTCAAACAATTCTTTAGCATGTCCCATCAGGGACATAGCATGACTATTTTATATACTTATTTTTATCAACCATTCAAGTTTTCATCAATGTTATAGACAAGATCAGAGCTAGTGACGGTTGACAAGCGCTCTCTCCCTTGGAGCTATTAGCGTTCAGCGACCCGGTCACAAGCTAATCATGAGGCTACATCAGATACGCGATGCTAGCTCCTTGGAGCGTCGCACGGTGATCAACTAGCGCTTCACGACAAGACTGATCTTCGGGTCCATTAAAGATCAGATCCTACCTAGTCTAGAGTACGTATTGTTCACCAGCCACGTTAGCCAACCTGTCATTCTGGGCTGCTCTTCGGGTCACGGTGTAAGGGTATCTAGCCAATCAGATCTATTACAGTTAGGTGTAAATCCTCGAAGAAGCTAGTATAAATTTGACCAAAGCCCACTGTAAAAACCCTCTGTAAAAAAAAAGAAGTTGCTGCTGTAAAAAGCTTCTATAGGTTGTGACCGGGCTATTGGAGATAAATACAGTGTCTACTGTATTAGGCAGCTAGTGGGGCATCATCCTATGACCGGAAGGGTAGCCGTCATTCTAACAGACGACTCCACAGTCCGATCGTCACAATGCTATATATAGTGTTTTTCCATGTTTTGACAACGGAGACAGAATCGCGATAACTTGGTCAAGTCTCTACCCTGTACATATTGGCAGGGCCGTCAACTAGATAGTACTTGCGACTCAGTAAGCTGAGTCTCCTTCTAGTACGCCCGTTGCAGTGTAGAAGCATATGCGTATCTTTCAATAACAAGTCAATCAATTATCTGTAGGAAGTTAAAGCAATGTTATCACAGTTCTATGAATATAGTAGAGGGCTTGAATGACACTAAATGACTAACGATCTTTCTCCTTCCAACCTATCTATCACCTTTCCATGGGGGAAAAGGGTACTATAAATCTCGCAATGTTACAACAAGAGACAGACAGTAAACACGCGAATTTAGAGTAACAACAGACTTAATTTATTACATCGAATAAACACAAAGCCAGGTCCGTGAGACGACTATAAGCTCACAAAACAGTCGATTTACTATATCCAACACTTGGCCTAGAAATACCATTTAACTTGAATCAGCTGGATTTCGATCGGCTGAGGTGTGGAATTGGTCTGATATGCAGACAAGGTTGACTCTGCGGGGATAAATGCCAATGAAATGTGGATTCCGTATTTATTATATGCCGAGGCTGAATATGAAAAGCTACTTCAGCTTTGCTTTTTCCACAAGATCTGGATACCGATTTTCCTCGGCATGCTACTCATCGGTTGAGAATAGAAACGAAATAGGGCTTTGGACGTTGATATCGGATGATTATTGCATATACACCGATTGAAAAAGACTTGATTCGCTTACATGTTAGCATGGAAGACGCGGTTAAATGGAAGATCTAGATGCCCATGTCTTGGATTTCAGTCCCGTTCATCTCCGATATTGCATATTCCCAAGGATCTCGTCCGGCTCCGATGCGGGCCACGCGGGATGCAAGTCATGCGGAGGCGCGGGACTGGCCGAGTGGATATTTCGGTGTTCAGAAAGGTAGTGCAAGGTCAAGGGTTCACGAGACTGAGAAGCTGGATTAAGTTAATGGGAGCTTCATGTATACACTGACTCATGACTTTGAGCGCGGTTTTTCTCGGGCTGGTCACAGAGCGAATGTCTCACTCTCGTGTGTCACGCATAACCGCTCGCTCTAGATCAGTTCTGGGACCTTGAGCTCATAAATTATATCTCTCTAGATCCTGGTCCTTGTTTTTAGTATTATTCCCCTCGTCCACTCTTTAAAGTCTAGTCAGTCTGGACAAGAAGTCGCCATTAACAATCGAGTAACCTTGTTCAGGGTTTCTGGAGGGTTACATGATCTACCGTCTCCATCAACAGCAGCAGAATCTAGAATGGCCAGGGCCAGGTCAAGGGTCTACTACATGAGAGAAACAGTTCAATGTTTACGCTGTCGCTGAGCCACGAGGAGTGATCTACGAGACAAAGAGTGTCGCACAGGGGCTTAAGTCTGAAACAGATTGACGAGAAAATCGAAAGATTTTGGAATATCCTCATGTGTTTTTTTCTCCGTTTCTTATTCTAAAACAAGCAAAGAATATTCGGATTCTCTTTGCCTCTAAGTTCCTTTTGTCCCTTTCGGCTCGGGAGTGTCTGATCTGAAGCCTCCGAATTGAGCAGCTGTTACAGCTCACATTCTGCACAATTTTCGAGGTGCATCGCAAGGGATGCTTGCCTTGGTCTTGCAGCCTTACCTGACCTTGTCTTTACTTCGAGCTTGATCCTTGTCTTCAGGGTGGCTGTCTACAAAAGAACTTCGGGGGCCGGATAGAAAACCGGATGCACGACAACTCATCAGCGACATACTCATAGAGACCCCGGCTGTCACCTGGTCGATCATTACTAGCATTAGTCCGATAATAAACCCAATTGAATGAAGTGTTAACAGCAGATGCAAGTTTTCATTACCAATCATAAAAGTACAATCTCCCGTAGTAGCCAAGATGTTCCCTACTAGATCTATAGCACAATAGTTTACCATTTTGCTATCATGATAACCAAATAACAAACGCCATTGAACCCAAGGCTCATTTCCGACCCCCAAAATACCACGTATCAGCCCTCTTCAACAGTGGGCTTCCTGTATGGGCCTGCTTCACTTGCTGAATCGTTCTTCTTATGCCCCTTGTCCTTTTCCTTTTCTCTCTCGCCTCCCCACACAGAGCTTGCAACTGTGGCCTCTTCATCGTTGTTTGTTGTGTCAGTCATCTTCTTGGCCAATGAAAAGATGGAAAAGTCCTGGCTGAGACTGGTCAGGATGCTCTCATCAGAACCTCCTTCACTCTTTGTAGGGCTATCAAGGTTGAGGCGACTAAGGGCATCGGCGATACGTTTCTTCTTAGCCTCCTTCGAATCTGGATCAAAGAAATTCGAATTCTTCACAGGGTTGTGAGTGGGCGAGGGTGGCTCAGCACCAGGGTGATGACCAGTTGCCATGAACTCAGCCTTCTCGGCCTCTTCCTTGGCAGTCTGCTCCTTGTGCTGCTTCATCTTTTCATCCACCGTCTTGGGTGCATTTGGATCAGGCACAGGCTTGGGCTCCTTCTTCTCTCGGCGAGTGAGCTCCACCTCGAGTACTCGAGTACCCATGGCAACTTTTGATCTCAGACCATCGTCGTCGCGATCGTAGTAGAGTGCCCAGATACCTGGAAGTTCTTCTACGGCGCAGAAGCCCTCCCAATTTTCGCACGTCATGCGGCGATCTTGTTTGGTGCAGTCAAAAGGACCAGTGATGTGACCTTCAGTATCCGCACGCACTCCGTACTTGACTTCGTACGTGTTCTTATCAATGTAGATCCAGTTCAAGAAAGGAGGGTCGTCACTGATGGTAGTGACTAGACCTTCGTAGTCTGAATCAGGGAAAGGTAGGAAGTATCCCGAGAATGCGTAGCCTTTGCTGATACTGTTCTTGGGATCATGGTTGTAAAGAGGATGTTCATTGGCAATATAAAGCTACCAAAACGAGTCAGTGATGTTTCTGTTTAGATTAATAGCAGTAACGTACCTTAGAATCTTTCAAGACAACCAACTTGTTGTTAATATCACGACTTCTGATAGAAGGCTTGACACAAGATACGACCAGGTTGCAGCGTCGAGCCCGATGTTCTTCACGTTTTGTCTTGCTCTGACTCTGACGAATTGCCTCTTGCGTGCCGAGCATGGCAGGGCAAACAGTGAGAGCAAGGAGCATTGGAATCGCCATGATGACTCCGCCTTTGTCGTCCTTCTGGACGGCCTCCTTGAGCTTTTCAACTTCTTCCAGGAGCTTCTGTTTACACAAGCGACTCAAAGGACTCTGGAGATTACTTTGGGCTGAGTGTGAGTCTTGGTTGGGCTGGGATGTGAAGGACGAAGATGAGTATGCTGAATCAACGTTGGGACAGGAAGGTGAAGGGAGTGACATTAAGCGTTGCCAGACAAGTGGCGATGTTTACCGTGGCAAAAGAGAAACCAAACAAGGAATAATGCACCGTCAGGGTTGGGGGTGATGGGTTGAATGCGAGACACGCATGAGGAGGGTAGTGTTATTCCAGGATATTATAGGTATAGTAATCCCATTCAGTGATTATACAAAGTGGTATAGTATATCGCACGCGTAGTTGTATTGTTCATTGAGTACTTAGTGATCTATAGAACAGATTCGAGTAGCCGGAGAGGCAAATGAGTCTCAGTACTACGCTCTACTTACCAGCCAAGACTACAACATTGTTGCAGAGACCAGGATAATTACGTGTCATAACATCTTGCGCATGAGCGGATTGCCGGTGTTTCCCGACAGAATCATGCCATTCTTTCCGATGCGTGCTACGTTAAGACTTTTAAGTTGGGATCAAAAAGAAAGGTTAGGAGGCAGGGACCTTGATCCCTGTCGATATGGAGTCGAGATTGAACAACCACACATAATGTGAAACATAACTCAGGCACAGGTACCCCTGTATATTTGCGTGCCTAAAACGCAACCTTATGGACTCCACGTCACTCTAAGCGAAGCGTTAGGAGAGAGATCCCTGCTTTGAGCTGGGGATTTATTAACAATCTTTACCACAAACGTCGTGTTTCGGGCATTTAAAGTGCGTTTAAGGCCAAGCAAGGTTGTTTCTGCTATTGAATAGTAGTCAGTTGGGTCGAATGCATTATGATATGAGCGAATCCATTGTCATGGCCGCCAATTGAACCGGCTTCTTTCCGGCCCCCAACTAGAGAACCTCTTCGTGGAATATCACATTGCGCCGGTAGTTCCCGTACCGATAGACACAATAGACACGCAAACCTTGTATTGTTTCTCAGCTCCAATTAACTAACTCATTGCTACCCTTGTTTCCCCAGGACAGGATCTGTAACTAGTACCGCTACAGCACAAGCCAACATCGGATGATATCTCCAGGGGCGTGTCACGCAGATGCTCCTCTCCGTTGTTTCTACTACTTAACATCTACTCTTCTGTAACCAGCCTCGAATCTTGTGGATTGTCCCTTTGTGGCTCGTGCTGTACTTTGCTTATGTGTGGCCTTATTCTGAATGACAGCCCATTCTTCATACCGGATCTGAATACCTGTAACAGACGAGGACCCCCTTGCGACCCTGAACGTCTAGCCCCAGGTCTAATAGAGAACACTCAGACCTACCAAGTCTCTTTTTGTTCTCGAATGTATGGATATGCACCTGCGACTGCGGCTGAATTAGTCCCCGTCTGTCCGTCTACATTCCTGTCAATATTTCCCACACGGATATGGACTCGAACATGGGTAGCCTTGCACGCATCGCATGTTATCGTGGAGCGTCAATCTAGACTGTTCATTAGAAGTAGCCCCAGGATCTTATCCTCAGCTGCGCAGCTTTACCTACCTGGGTACCGTATACAGACGACCTGGACCTAGTGCTTCAGTGTGAGACAGCATGAGTAGCTGAGTTGGGCTAGACTGAACAACGCATCGAAGCCATCGCGTCGAGTTCGCTACTGCCGCGTACAGTAGTGCTTGTACAGACGGTGTCGGCCAAACCCCTTTCGTCTACATTTCTCGGCATCGGGATGTTTCGCAATGAAGATCATACTGCAAGGTGTAGTGTAGTGTAGTATGGATACAGACTCAGATATCGTAATTCTGATCTGAGCTGACATAGGCAAATGTCACCCCTTCCTAGGTCCGAATCTTCTATATAAGATGGGCTCTCCTTCACCTTCATACCTTTTCATCTCATCAGCACTCAGCATCCAATCCATTCAACAATCATCCACTTAAGCTTCAGCCTCGATCATCATCACCGCTACCTCAATCAACTTACAAACATCTTTGACAATCTTTGTCCAACACCACCCAACCCAACACAATGTCTGCCCCTACTTCGTAAGCATCCCTCTTCTCTTACTCCTTCGGTCACCAGCCATGACTACAATGTCAAACTCCCAAAGAAAGTCTCAAGACTGATTAACTTAGCACCGCTTCTCCCCCTCCTACCTCTGACCTTCCCTTTGCCAACCTTCCCTCTTCCCCTGCTCCTGGTCGCAACTCCACTACTGCGTAAGCACACTCTTCATTCTGCCATCAAACAATTCACTAACCGTTTCCACTCCCATAGTCTGTCCAAGCCTGCCTACGCCTCCGACTCTGACTCTGACGGTCAGGCTCGAGGTGGTCGCCGCAGCCAGAAGCAGCAGTTCGTTGTTCCTCTTCCCACCTCTACCGGCCTCTCTCAGCCCGCTGGTAAGTTTTTTTTTTTCCTTGATTCCATATTGGATTCTACTCACACAGCTCTCAGGTCAACTTCTCAAGGGTGCCACTGACGAGAACGGCAACCAAAAGTCCGCCGCTCTACTTGTCGGTATCAAGCTCGACCTTGAGGCCGAGGTCCACTTGACTGCCCGAGTCAAGGGAGACATCTGCATTGGACTTTACTAGACGACGGCCATGCCTTCTGCTTTGACCTCTAAGTTCACGTGCTAGGTGATTTAATCGCAGAACATAGCCGGTGGCCATGTTATGATGATGAAAGGAATACCTCAAGGTGCCTGACTCTCTGGACGAGCTGGCAAACAGATTGGGGTGTTGAAAAACGGACGGGATTTCTTTTTACTCTGGACTGGCATATAAAACTTGTAGCTATGATAATATTATCCCTTTGCTACTGCTTTCTCTCTTCTCACTGAATTGTCGATAACCCTCAGCAATTGCTAAGAGGCTCAGTCTCTTAGAGACAGCTGCGATATCATCTCCCAAGTTGAAGAAAACTTGGCATGATTTACCTGCCCATTGCTATATTCACCGTCGATGAAAGCATAGTCGCTAGTGGTCATTAACACGATCCATGTCGAGCCAAGACTTCCCCTGTCGCTTTTTCAGGGTCCGTATCGTCAGCCACCGACAGTCTCAGGGAAAAGGTTACAACGGCCACCATCCAATCATCACCCTTGAGGGTTTCAAGAGTGAAAATGCTTCGCAATAATTCTCCGAAAGATCGTAAGATGATAACTCGATACGTGTATAGGCTGCGCCGCGACCCTGCGTGAGGAGAGTATCAATTTCAGATGGCTTTACAGGAGCAGAGGAGGTTTCAATTGAGATAAACTAGCCATTTCGCTGCTCAATTTTGAGCATGTTTCCTTTGACTTTATGGACAGGGTTGTTGACCAGATTGCCCAGCCTAGTGGTTCAGGGTAATTCATCAAGATTATGCTCGGATGGCATGAAGACTGGAAGATATTGACTAGTTTAGAATTGAAATGTTTACAATAGATTGTTGGTCTTTATATATACCTAGCTAAGAGTAGCTTTTCGTGGTGGATAGGAGAGGCAATACCTGATTTTTATAGGCTTATAGCACAAGCTTACAAGCAACCCAACTTGGGCGAAACAAACTCCATAAGATTATGGGGATATCTCTCAGGCTGCTTGCGTTCATGGCCCGAAGGACTTGCAATTAATGGAACAGTTATTCTTCATTCCATTCTCTATTATGCCATCAATCACTGCCGAGGTTTTAAGTTTGTCGTGTTATTTGATTGATCCGCTACCGGCAAAGAAGCAAGTTCCGTGACGCGCCTTCAAAGGCAGGGCAGGTACGAAGCATTCGAAGCAGTGCAAGAGGAAAGAGAAGATCTCCACTTTAATTAAACCAGGTACCTACCAAGCAGGAGAAGAAAGAGAAACCAGTTCTTCTTTCGTTTCTTTCCCCCAGTATTTCGCAATACTTGAAATATCGCCAGCATGCTGAAACCAGCCAAACGCGCGCATGAGTTTATCGACCTTACAAGTGACGATGAAAGCGAGACGCGTCAAAAACGGCCCGCTCTAAACGGTCCATCCGGTCAACACCAACACCAAAGCCAATATCATCCCGGAGAAGGTGGAACTAGTGTCTATGGATGCGGTTCTTCATCACAAAATGGTCCATCATCTACAGCTGAACCCGATTATCTTGACCTGACTCAGGACGACGAAGGCCCTCCCCTGGAACTCTATGGGACATTTCGTACGCCACATACATCACACATCACGACACAGGTAACCTAACATTGTATAGATGGGAAGATTGTCGGCGTAAGATATTACCAAGGATACGCATCACCTGGAGGTATGTCTTTCTCTTCTTTCGTCTGCCCATCAAAATACTTACAGGTACACAGAAGCTGTTCTCTGTAGACGAGAACCCAACAACGCGGTTCGTAATACTCCAAGTGGTCTTATTGCCTCTTGTCTCAGCGAAATAGCCCGATTGACCATCTGACCTGCTGCAGTACGACCGAAATGCTATTCGAGTGGACAATGTCGTTGGTGATCAAATCGGCCATCTGCCGCGTAAAGTTGTAGAGAAAATCGTCCCATATGTGGTAAGACAGACAAACTACCATGTACGCACACTTAGAAAGCCACTTTTCTGACGAGAAACTCAGGATCGCGGTGACATCGTTCTCGAAGCCCAGCTCACGGGCGAAAAGGCCTTCTATGACTGCCCAATTAAGCTCTTCTTCTATGGGTCTAGCGACCCGCAGGAGCGTTCCAGGATCGAGGAGCTACTCAAGAAAGACAAGCTAGTCAAGGCTACGGAACTCAAGAACACTAGAAAGGAAGCTGAGGCCCGCAAGAAGGCTGCGTTGGGCTTGATGAATGGCTGCTCGACCCATGGGGTCGGTTCAGAACTTGCTGTTCCCCAGAAACCAGAGATCACTATGGATAATGTCCTCCAGAAGAGTGAGGCTGTCGAGATGCGCAAGGGCGACGACGCCATCAAGTCACTTGCGATTGGTGAGGATGAGTTGGAGAAGATGCCAATGGCTGGGCAGCCCGAAGATTTAAAGGCACAACTCTTACCATACCAGCTACAGGTATGCTTTCCCACGCTAAATGGCGGACTTAACTAACTTGTCAAAGGGATTGGCTTGGATGACTTCCAGGGAGAACCCTCAGCTCCCAGCTGAGGGCTCTAGAGACCCTGTACAGCTCTGGCTGCATCAATCCAAGAAGAAGTTCTTCAACGTTGCGTCTGGATTTGTAACAAACACAGCACCAAAGTTGCTCTCAGGAGGTATCCTTGCCGACGACATGGGTTTGGGCAAAACCCTCCAGATCATCAGCTTGATCCTAACTAGCAGCAAGGGCCCTACCCTCATTGTTGCACCTGTCAGTGTCATGAGTAATTGGAGCCAACAGATCAAGCGACATGTCCGCGGGGACAAGCAGCCCAGCATAATCACGTATCATGGTAGCGAAAAGGCAACTGCGAAACAGCTTCAGGGTTACGACGTTGTGATCACCAGCTATGGAAAGCTTGCCAGAGAGCGTGACCAAGGCGTGAAGAGAGCCTTGACCTCGCAAGACATCAAGTGGTGTCGAGTGGTTCTCGATGAGGGTCACATTATACGAAACTCCAGTACAAAGGTAGCTCAAGCTGCCTGTGAGATTAACGCAGAGTCTCGCTGGGTTTTAACAGGAACACCGATTGTCAACTCGGTCAAAGATCTGCACTCTCTCATCAAGTTCCTTCACATCACTGGAGGCATCGAACAGTCCGAAATTTTTAACGCTCAAGTTACCCGTAGACTTGCTGTTGGAGATAAGACTGGCGAAAAACTTCTCCAGGCCCTTATGCATGACCTTTGTCTCCGTCGCAAAAAGGATATGAAATTTGTGGACCTCAAGCTTCCAGCTAAAAAGGAGTATGTCCATAGAATTCAGTTCCGAAAGGATGAGAAACGCAAGTACGATGCGTTGTTAGATGAAGCCAGAGGTGAGCTCGAACAGTGGCAGGCAGGTTCCCAATTGGGCCAAAAAGGACGCTTCCAAAACGTACTGGAGCGCTTGCTTCGCCTTCGACAAATCTGCAATCATTGGACACTTTGTAAGGAGCGCGTCAGCGATATTCTTAAGCTACTTGAAGAACACGAAGTGGTTCCGCTTAACTACAAGAACCGCGGCCTCCTCCAGGAAGCCCTGCGCCTGTACATCGAAAGCCAGGAGGAATGTGCTATCTGCTACGATAACCTAAATGACCCTGTCATTACTACCTGCAAACATGTATTCTGCCGGGGTTGTGTCATTCGTGCTATTCAAATCCAGCACAAATGTCCGATGTGTCGTAATAAGCTTGACGAGACCAGCCTTCTTGAGCCAGCACCTGAAGACGCAGGCGATGAGGACAATTTCGATGCTGAGTCACAGAGCTCCAAGACGGAGGCGATGATGCAAATCCTCAAGGCTACCATGCGAAAGGAGGGCTCCAAGGTCGTTGTCTTCTCTCAGTGGACATCTTTCCTCAATATTGTTGAGGCGCAGCTCAAAGCCGAGGGAATGGGATATACACGTATCGACGGTAGCATGAAGGCGGATAAGCGCGACAAGGCTATAGAAGCTCTCGACAGCGACCCCAAGACACGAGTCATGCTTGCCAGTCTCGCAGTTTGCAGCGTTGGTCTTAACCTCGTAGCCGCCAACACCGTCATTCTTTCCGATAGCTGTAAGTTCCCTCAATCTTATACATTCTTAGATAGATCCCTATTAGCTAACGCAATGTCTACAGGGTGGGCGCCAGCCATCGAAGATCAAGCCATCGACCGCGTCCACCGTCTCGGACAGACCCGTGAGACGACTGTCTTCCGCCTCGTTATGGAGGGCTCAGTAGAGGAGCGGGTGCTTGATGTACAGAGCGAGAAGCGAGAGTTGGTGACCAAGGCGTTCCAGGAGAAGAACTCGAGGAACAAAAAGCGCGAGAATACTCGCGCAGCAGATATTTCCAAGCTATTGGGCTAGCCAATTAATATCTATTGATTTCGGGCGCGTAGGTCAGGGAGTTTGTGGTAGCGTATATAACGATAAATTACAAACCGCGGGAAAGGCGTTAGGGAATGCAGCGTTGCGGTATCAGGAAAGTTGTTTGCCAAGAACATAAGAGACGAAACTAGTGGTTGACTTAGGTATGCTACTTACATCTAACTTCTCATGTTATTTATTTCTATCCTCTCAAGCTAAGAGGTCAGCTTTTCTGTTACCCACTACAGGTAGGGCCTGATATATGCAGGCATGGCGTTGCCGAGACTGTTAAAGCTCTAAGTCGAATCAAAGAGTTGTATTTCTACTCATCAGCCGTTTATGCAATCCAGCCATCTAATGTAGAGAGTACAATAAAACTGTTTCTACCTGCCCAGAAAAAGCCAGTATATATAGAATATTGTGAAACTCATAACAAGTAACCATGTACCAACTGCTTAATGGAGCCATCTTGCATAAGCCCATCGAATACGCTCCAATGACCTGGTCTGCAGCTGAATCCCCTTCATGTTAGACAGGTCGTCCAAGTCCTCAAGAAACTCCCTTCCAATCTCCCGAGGCATGAGCTTATCGACCAGGTTTCTTAAGATGTGGACTTCGGCGAGCAAGAGACCGTGATCCTTATAAGAGAGAAGGTTGGTCTCTGTAGGTCGGGCCTCGGATAAAATGCGGTCGACGTTGCGAAGAACGCGGATGGCTTGGCCAGCCTTGCGAGTTTGACGCTGCCCAGATCGGCCCCCAAAGACACCACGGAGGTATTGAAACATGCTATATGAAACAAGTACACCTGGAGTAAGACCAACGAAGCCGAAAACAAGCTCCTGACTCTTGAGGAGCGAATCAATGCCAGTCATAGCGACCTCAAGGTCGACCTTTGTCTTTTGGACCTGGATAAGGAGGGATCGCACGAGATCTCCACGGATCGTACCCACGAAAGGGCGTCGCAGATCCTTCTCGAATGCTCGCAGTACAGGGGTAACGTCGCCTTCTGCTACCTTGTGACGGATATCGTCGACTTGAGTATCGGTCAGGATGCTTCCAGTTTCCGTAGCGAAGTGTGGCTTATCAAGGGCAAAGTCAACTACCATACGCTCAAGGCTCTCACGATCGGCCTTGAGGCTGTCCCTGCTCATAATTGCAATCTCGCTGGTCTTGTCATGTCGAATGGTCGAGATGATCTTAGAGGTCGGTTCGATAACCCAATTAAACCAGAAGTCGCGGATAGTCTCACCGAATCCAATAAACCATTCAACAATATCAGCCTTTCGGTTGACCAAGATGCGCAGGACCGTTGTCGAGGATAGAAGACCAATAGTCGCAGGAAGCCAATAGCGAACAAAGGCGCCAGGCCGACCGTTTTCCTTTGCCAGGGCACGCATGGCAGTCAAATGTTCGGGGAGAGACTTGTCGATAATGCTGAGTAGTCGCCAAGCTAAAATCGCTGGTCGATCGGCAGTACTACTGCCTTCAATGTGAACAGAAAGCTCAGGATCTTCTTCAACTCCGGCAAAAACCTTGTCCTCAAAATCGCTGATATTAACGTCGAGAGTGGACACTTCTTTCAGAACCATATCGATGAGCGCAACACTACGTTCGACAACACCCTTAAGGTCGTGGTGGTCCTGAAGATCAGCCTTATCGTCGTCAAGACCAAATTGGAGACCCTCATCCATCAATACACCAAGACCACTTGCCGTGATCTCGCGCAGTTTCTTAAGCTGTGCCTGCTTGCGTCGAGCCTCAGAACGAGACAGAGCGACAGGTGACAAGACCCTGCGTTGAATGTTGGCAATTGATCGTTCCCGGACACTGTCTTGCACGATGCCGTAAAACTGAGACCATTGCTGTGATAGACTTGAAGTTGTAGAGTCGACGAGTTCGCCTGGAGCATGGTGAAGGGAGCCTGCCTGGATGCGTAATTTGGTAGCAGTGCAGACTTCCTGGGACCAAGCCCAGACCCTCAAAGGGGAAGTCTGGACAGCATAGAGACTGCTGTAAGAATAAGAGCCCAGTACCTCATCCCAATACCAAACATCATCATTGAGGGGGACGATTTGATCCAAAAGCGTGTTAAGAACAACACCATGGAGTTGAATGGTGGCTTTGCTCACGAGAAGCCATTCCAGCTCATTCTCATAAGGACTCTTGGCGCCATCAGATTGAGTTTCGTTTACTGAAAGGCTTGCAAGGGCAGGGATGTCAGATGAGATAAGAAGGTCTCTAATACGCCAAGCTGGCAGAAGAGGTTGCGAAGATGAAGTAGTACTCAGAGACTGGATGGTACGAAGCAAGTGATCAAGTCGCGGAGTTGACAAAGCATTAGTCGCAGCAAACCCATGTTCTCCGGTCTCTGAGTGTTCATCCTCAGATGTCACCTCAGATAGAACTGGTAGACGATCAAGGTAGGCGTCAAGCCGCCGTACTTGACTATGGGCACGGTCAGTGGCTTGTTAGGGTTCAATCAGATAGATGAGGGCAAAGAATGTGAGTGTTTGATGACAAGATGATGAAGTGGAAGTCAAGGGTAGGCAGACGAACTCAGAGACAAGCGTCATGGTAAGACTAAATGATGAGCTTGCTTAGATCTGATAGCTATGAAGCCAAGGGCGAGAACACCACATCAGTCAGCAAGAGCACAGCCTGGTAAGACAACAACCCTGTGCCGGGGATGGCAAGAAATGAGACGTGAGCGGGAGCTCCAGAAAGTTGGTGGAGAGCTCGGCACACAACCCCGGATGAGTAGCGGATTGCGGTAGTGATTGCGGCGATTTGCGGCCGGGAGGTGAGCGCCGAGTCGCGGGGGATACGGACGGGGGGCTCGGAGGCTGCGCAGCCGTTGAACTGGGCGTCAGGTCGCGTGCGGATAGCGAGGGTGAGAGTGTGAGTGCAAGCTCAACATAACACGAATGCGATGCGGGAGATGAACCAAATGTGGGGAAACAGGCTATAGCATGATACCACACATCAAGCCAGGTCCATTAAAATCAAGCAAAAGCGTTGGCTGTCAAAAGAGAGAAGCTGGATCGAATTGCAGCAAGGCTGCCTCCTATCATGTTCGTTACACCGATCAATTGCACTACGCACTACGGGAAGGAACATTGCAATGCAATGCACAATGACTTTGCGACATGACGTGGTGTTCACGAGGAAGGGGAGGAAGGTGTGGATGGTTTGAATTGCTTTAGTTGTCCGTTCTATCTTATTCGTATTCGGATCGAGCTGCCCAGCATCGTCGCTCTTCAGTCGCTGTCCAATCACGTGTAATATAATTCTTCTCAAACAACAATGGAATTGCTTGCGAGTGCCATATTTGTATAGCATTGCATGAAAAATGAATAAATCTGTATGAAATGCCACCACTATGTCTCTAAGGTGGTCAGCTGCGTGTATACTGCACATCTTGGGCAAGCCTTTATCTGGACGCGAGCTGTGAACCATTAATCAGTATGGCTGATGGTGGGTTTGCTATCATTGCAGGTATAGCATCATTGTGGTATAAGAAGAGTTGCATCAAGTAAACATCTCGACTTCTAATATGTGATTGGAATATTCAAATCAAACCTACTTGAAACCTGCTATGCATATTGGCTGCAAGTTAACCTACACCACTACTTTGAGACCTCTCCGTTACAACCCATTACAGTTTCAGACGGAGTTGCTGAGAAGTGTCGTATTCGGGATCGCATACAAGCGTCATGGTATTCGGGGACGGCCATGAACTAATCCTAATCCAGTATCATCAAAGTACTTTTTGAGCAACAAGCCCGCCAGCCTTGAATCGTACTATCTGGGTCGATTAGATACAAGGGCTTTAATTGAAAAACACCACATTCAATTAAACCTCCGGTGATCGCATGAGATTTGTGAAAGAACAGGAGTGGGCGGGAAAGGTGGGAAAATGTTCTATTCCCAGCTGGAGCCGAAAACGAGACAGAGACAGAGACTACCGCGCCGCGCGGAACAAGGCCCCAAATCTGGAGTTAAGGGGTGGTGGTGTCGTGCGACCCAGTAGATCGGAATTGATAATCGGATACTTTGCCCCTCGACTGGATCGGCATTCAACCAGTGGATATCTATTTAACGGTTTTTTATCGCCTCACAACCTTACCAATAACACACCACTTTGTCCGAAGTTCTTGTCGAAGCCTTCAGGGACCTTCTGAACAAGATCTTAAACTGAGACCCCTGTGCCAATGTACTGTACTGCCACTTAATCTATATAGGGCGCATTGAATGTAAGAATTACCTGTTTTCAATGAATGTACGGAGAATCGACAGGCCCATTGCAAGGATGATGCAGAAGCCGAGACAGGAACACACACTCGCTGTGTATATTTTTCAGTTCGAGTTCCCGATGACACTTCCGTATCAGTTTAACATTAGTGAAATGACTACGAATGCACCAATCAGCCTCTATAGTGGCAAGTGCATCATGCCTGATTAAGATCTTCACCGCCCTCAATGGTATATACAAAGTTGTGGACAGTGAGTTAGACGGACCCTTGTCCAGTAGGTATGAAAGGGAGAAAGGTGAACAACAAACTACTACAGGGACTTGCAGATGATCTGATTGTATTCCTTGAAATTCCCGTGACATCTCCGTGTATTTAATGTTGAAGATACACATACGATTTCTTTATAGCGGTGACGACCTTTAATCAATATGTCTTTGTTTTGACTGGTTGACTGGGCTCGGAAGCCGGGAAGATAATCTGGTTGTGGCCTCATTCTGGAACCATTTCCAAATTCCATCTGCTATCGAGGCTGCCGAGTGCACGGGCCAAAGAAAGCTCAGGGGTCCTCTGATATGGTTGGCTGACTGACACAGGGTTTGGAGATTTAGGTCCCTGATTCGTTTAGACGCAGGGTGTGTGATGGCGAATCTAAGGTGCAATTTTGGCAGTGATACGTACCGACACAATGCGAAACGGCGCAAGAGCTGCGTGTGTTTGCTTTTGTTTTCCGAGCTTTGCACTCCAAAGTCAAGTTAGTGAACGGACGCCCAGCGTGTAGCCAAGCAAAAACTAAGACAAGGCCCGCTCGCTGCCCACCATTTTCGATGGGGGCCCCCTATGAGATACTTGGGCCGGGCAATAGAGGAAATGATAAAACCTCCCCAACTGCCACCGTCTTGTCTCCTTTTCACCACCGCCCTCGCCATTGTCGACCCTTCCCTTTTATAAGTAGAGCCGCCTTCCTCGACGACTCTTGGACTTGACCTGGTGCTAGTTGGTGTCTTTCTTCTTTACCTGAGATTCCTTCCCAACCCTACTTTTGTCATAAGTATACCACTTTCACCATGGATGCGCTGTGAGTATACCTCATATCGAGACGCAAATTGCGCCAATGCCTAAGCAACACTTTTCTAACCCCCATTTTGTACAGAAACGCGACCTCCTTCGCGTCCTTCAACCAAACCAAGGACTACTTTGTCGTCCTTGAGGAGGTTTCCAAGTACAATGTCCAGCTCAACATGGTCGAGAAACTCTGGGCCGTACGTTTGATCCCTACATCGCGAACACGACAAATAACCATACTAACACTCAATCCAGGCTTGGTACCTTTGGATGCAGAACGACACTCTCGCCACCGGTATCATGAGTTTTGTCCTCCACGAGTTTGTCTACTTCGGCCGCTGCGTTCCCTTCATGTTGATGGACTACATCCCCTACTTCCAGCAATTCCGAATCCAGAAGCAAAAAGTTCCCACCCTCAAGGAACAATGGGACTGCGCCGCCATTGTCCTCATCAGCCACTTCACTGCCGAACTCCCTCAAATCTGGTTCTTCCACCCCATTGCTACCTACTTCGGCATGGACTACGGTGTACCTTTCCCTCCCGTGTGGAAGATGGCTCTTCAAATCGCCATCTGCTTCGTGATGGAGGATGCTTGGCACTACTGGTTCCACCGTGCCCTGCATTATGGTCCCCTCTACAAGGCCATCCACAAGATGCACCACACCTACTCCGCTCCTTTCGGTCTCGCCGCTGAGTATGCTTCACCCATCGAAACTGCTCTCCTCGGAATTGGTGTCGTTGGATGCCCTATTGTCATCCTCGCTATCACTGGCGAGCTCCACCTCTTCACCATGTACACCTGGATTGTCCTCCGTCTTTTCCAGGCTATCGATTCTCACAGCGGCTACGACTTCCCTTGGAGTCTGCGCCACATCCTCCCCATCTGGGCTGGTGCCCATCACCACGATCTTCACCACGAGAAGTTCATCGGCAACTACGCCTCCAGCTTCACCTGGTGGGACTACTGCCTGGACACCGAGGCCGGTGCTGACGCTCACAAGCGCCGCCGCGAGAAGAAGCTCGCTGCTATCAAGGCTCAGAAGCAGCAATAGACTGCCACGAAGAAGATCTGGCACGACGACAAGTGATCGATTGCGGTGAATCGAGTCTGTAGCCCAGGATTTCACGACCATAAACAAAAGAGAAGACTGTTGATCATGATGGAGACTTAGACGGTCGTTCAGCGGACATAATCGTCTGTATCGCTGCACTCGCGACTTCAGCATTCGCATGGCGTTTGGGGATGTTAACTAAGAACGACTTTTTACGCTTGTATATACAAAACATTGCCCAGGAGAGGCTTTTAGACATATTTAATAATCAACATCGTTCGTTGTCTAAATGCTACCATAAATAGAAAGCTATTATGGCACCTACTATGAGAAGTGATAGCTCGTCCTCAGGGAAACAGAAAATTTGACTGTTGGAAACGTAAGAGACGAAATTAGCAGGTCAGTTTATGTTGGACTACTTATTTTTATACCCCAAGTCTTGGGAGGCCAACTTTTCTGCTATCCAGTAGCCCGTGTTGGACCTTGAAATTCTTGTCATGAATATAAGTAGAGTTGATCGACTAGCTCATTACTCTTCACAGCGGCGTGGTATTGTCTTCGTCTTCAGCGAAGCTGTTCCACAGTATGAGATACTGGCTTCGGACGTAGTATTATCATTTGCTCTTGGGCGTACAGCAGTCTCCCGCTACTCCAGCAGCCTGGTCCGCTAAGCCACGAATCGCACAGCTTTGGTCCCCCATCTCGGCCGTGGATAAAGTTTTCGGCTCCGGAGGTAGCTCGCCTATTTGTGCTGCAAGAGCGTCGCATTGCGTAGCCATTGTAATGTCTTTGTCTGAGAGACCAGCTGGGTTATGCGTTGTCCAGCGGATGAAAGTGGTGTTGTACACCTTGATTCATGTGGTGAGTTAACTGTAACGGCTGGAGTACAGAAACACACTTACGTTAGACCATTCAGGATGGTGATTCTTGATTTTACATTGAAGGGAAACTCCTGTCATAAAATCCTACGATGAGTTAGCTAGGAGCTCGTGCTTTTTGTCCACATCTTCACTACTACATTACCCCTACAGGACATATGGATGGGATTGTTGATAGTTCATTAGACTCACCCATGTTTTTGCAAAAGTCTTGAACTTGAACTGCCTCTCTAAGGCAGTACCGTCCTTGGCCAATGTCCATCGCCCACCCTCAGAGGTGAGTAGTGCATTCAGCGCCGGTGTTGCACTCGCGGTATCAGTACCAGCAGAAAATCGTGGCTGGGCCATTGATGACGTAAAACGGAACAGTGATGGAAGACGAGCTGAGGATTGGAAAGGGCGCATTGTAAGAAGAAACGAGTTGAAGTTGCCAATGATAGGTACCTGTGGGTTGGTTGATGCGGCTGAAAGGATTGGGCTATGAGAGGCGAAAATGGAGAGACCAGCAAGATTGAGAGTACTTTACGCATACACTTTATTGGTGGGTTGATGTGTACCCACTAACATCCCCTCCCCCCTGTTGGTTTCGTTCACATGAGATACAGAATATCGTTGTATTCTAATTAATAGTTCTTGGGCAAAATAAAGAAGTTCGAGGACTTAGGGTCTTATTAGTCTCCCCACCATAGTGTCCTGTTAATTTCTGCTGTGACTCTAGGTATCGCTCATGGTCGGTTGTAACTGGGTCGTAAAGATAAGCCTGACAAGTGGGTTGTATGTTTTTTTTAGCACTTCACTGCCATCTCGTAAGAAGTACCAGTTCTTCGAATTAAGACAGGGTAAGGGATTGGGTGAGCAAAAAAGACAAGTTGGAGAATAAGCACTTGATGTACATAGTAATGGTTACCTGTAGGTAGATACAAGAGAACTACTGCACACCCTGACTGGATATAATAATGCCTATATCGAATAAATTGCTTAGCACACACAAGTCACACAGGTTCTGCTTGCAACTCGGTTTGGCATGTATTGCTTGCTCTTTTTATTTTATTTTTTATCAAGCCGTATCGCATCGTCTTGGTACTTACACCATTACAGCTTGCATCTCATGGACATTATTGGGGGCCGGGAAGCTCGGAAGTTAGAGAACCCGTTTTCTTAGTAACGCGGAACCGTCTGTGTGTAATTGAAGGTATCTCATGTGGACAGAGAATGTGATGAGAAAGATAGTGCCATATTACAGCACAGGCATTCTAGATAAAAGCTTGGAGACTCGGTGATCTTGACAAAACAAGTCAGCTGAATTCTTATTCTGAAAAGGGGGGGGGGGAACCACCAGTGGAAGTAAACAGACGCCATTGATGGGATGTAACTAACCAATTGTGTAATCTTTAATAAAGTAAATGGCAGTACTAAATAGATGCTAATACGTTGATATGAACACTTCTAACCAATCAGAAGCTGGGACTTGAGACTTTAGCTCCTACAATATGGCCAATTTAATTACCGCCATGCATGTTTTTTGTTACGAGATTTAAGGACGTATTGAAGTCTTTTCGCATACATAGTATTGAATGCTAGAAACACCCGAAACCTCAATGTATGCATCTATGGACATTGGTCTTGAGAAGTGGGTGGGGCTCTGCACATGAGCAAGGTGCAGGGCCGAGGTTAGGTGGTCCTAGCTCCCTGCTTCTTGTCTGTTGCTCGCTGACAAATATTTTCCCTACTGCAACAACGTTCCCTTCCAGCATCAGTCAGCAAATCCATCCAATCTTCTAACTCGAACCCATCGTTTATTCCCATCGCGTCAACTATCAAAACGGCCGGTGTCGGAAACAAGAAGAGAGATAGAAAGAAGGGACTAGGTTTTCATTTTTGATGACAAGACTGCCTGAAATTTGAACGATTCTCACCAAAACAACATTGTCCGCAGTTGACGCGTCTTTGTTACTCAAATTGAGGCTTCACCAAGATTGCATAACGGTTGAGACAGTTTACTTAACATCAATCCCCAACAGAGAGGTTCGCGCGTGCTTTGGGCTTCCCGCGCCAGTCGTCGTCAGCACTTCAGGCTTGTTTTATTCGATACTGCCAGAACCAGACACGGCCTCGAGTTCCGTACGTGTACAGTAAAAACACCTGTCCGCCATCGAATTGCAGAAGCGAGCAAGCGGCAAGCGAGCGATAACCATACCAAACCACCTAAACCTATCTAAACTCAGGTTAGCCTAGTCTGTCAAGCAAAGCGGAGAGCAGAAGCGTCCCCGGCCCAGCCACGCCATTTTCCGACTTAGGTCACCACTCACACGCTCATTCAAAAGGTCCACGGATCCAGGTTACATAATCCGTTTCTCTTCCACCAGCCTCTCTCCTCACTCGCCTCTGTCAGTCAGCGTCAGGTCCCCCCCTCGTCGCAGTAATAATCATCGTCCTGGGTCACCACTACTTGGATGCTGAGTCAGACTCTCCTCCCCCAGAGCTCAAGCATGCAGAACTCCTCAGCAAGCGGCGCCAATAATCAAGGTTAGTAAAGACAGCTCTTTTACTCTCTCTCTTTCCTTTCTTACTGCGTTTTATCTGTTTCTCTATTTGAGTGTGTCTTGTTCTGAAACTAGAACTGCTATTATCTACACTGCACTGCGCCTCTCATTGGCCTTGGTCTATTGCGACACTCATAGCGCTCTCTTGTATCTCTCAACCATCTGAATAGCATCCTTGTCGCGTTTTCGCGCAACCCGATATACAATACACTTAGAGCTCCTTCTCGTCACTTGAACACAATACCCGTTTCCGGCTCTTTCGGCTTCGCGTCTACTTCAATTACCGTTGTCGTAACCTGAGCGCATTGGCTAAAACCGACCCCTCTAAACAGAGCAGCATTTGCGCGCACAGCTCGAGCTCCTCAAGAGTCACGACGCGACAGGCTCATCCTCGCCGACTTCTCCTGCTCCCCGTGATACTCGGCATCAACCTCTTCAGCCGGCTCCTGCGCGGCCGTCGAATGGATTCGATCACTCGTCCAACCCTCAAGATCAACCCCGAGCTATAGCCGCCAAAGGCGAGGTTGAAGCTCATATACACCCTGACCTTCGCGCCCGAGCCAACAACGCACCCACCGCAACCATGATGCCAATCGTTCCTCCATCCGGGCATAGCCCAGGCGCCGCTGCTGGTCCATCCACGGCTCCAATTGCTTCTGTACCCATGCCTCACATGTCGCCGGACGATCATGGTGACGGTCGCAGTAAGACCAAGCGTGAACTATCTCAGTCAAAACGTGCGGCGCAAAACAGGGCTGCTCAGGTAAGTTGTAAATACTGGCTTGTTGCTTAACAAGATCATTTTGCTGCTTGTCGAGCTGTTTGACCAACAATCCATCAATAGAGAGCATTCAGACAGCGCAAAGAGGGCTACATCAAGAAACTCGAGCAGCAGGTACGCGAATACATGGACATGGAGCAATCTTTCAAAGCACTCCAAACAGATAACCATGCACTGAGAGAGTATATCGTTCACTTGCAGTCGCGGTTGTTCGATGTGACAGGCGAATACCCACCTCCACCTCACAACGTCGATATTGCTCAGCCTGCACAACAACCGTCAGCACCTGCTCCCACCCCCGCTTCGGCTCCAGCCCCAGCACCTGCTCCAATTGCTTCTGCTCCTCCTGAACCAGTGCCTAGCAATTCCGCGGCCGGAACACCTTTGGAAGCTGTTGCGCAGGCCGTTGCAGGTCTCGCGGCCCAGGAACAAATCGAGCGTCAACAATACCCCACAGCGCATGAATGATGAGTTATGATAATGTGAGTAAAAGCTTGGTTTTTGATGCTCGGCAAAAACATCTAACGAGAGCAGATTGCTTACAACACCAAAACCTGCGATGGCTCTACGATAATGAGAGCGATTGAGTTCAGACCAGTACCACGAAGAGCCGAATTGATTCCAACGAACGCGACAGAAGTAACAAAGGTGGTTTTGATATCCAAGAAGGTATATATTTTGCGAAACACTGACAGAAAGGCATAGTTGGTAAGTGAAAGGGCAGTGCCACGCCGATCAATGTTCTTGGCCGCATGGAAGTCATGTGTGATGGCGGGAATTTCAGTTGATGTAATGGTCATGTTCTTGGGGACAGCCTCAGATTAAATGGATACAAGGTAGGAGTGCAAGAAGGCCTCAGGAAGTATGCTGGTATAGAGGGAAATTAGCAATCAAGGGTCGATATGATAGAAGCAGATCAGTGTTAATGGTCGGAGTTGAGGGCTTGGTAGCAAATAGAGGATCTTATTTAAACAAACCCCAGCGCTATCGCTCCAAAGATAAACATGTCTACGTTGGTGAGGTTCGGAAAGAACAGATAAAATCTTTTATTACCGAATGCTTGCCATGTATCCTCCAACATGTTCGTCGAGAAGTGCAATTGGCCAATAAACTTACACTATGGCTGTCCGCTGCTGGTCCCTATTTGGCTCCACATTATCCTCCGTCCTTCATCTCTCTTTGTTAACAAGTTGAGACTAAAGTCGAATCATTTAAATTACCTTATCTTTTACTTGCATTATCAGATATAAAGTTGATGCTTCTCAAAAATCCTGCAAGACTTCAAGGCAGCATTTTGGGTGGACAAATCCAGATTACGATGTATCTTGACTGCATACTACGAGAGTCTGCACATGGATTTTCAATATGTTTAAGTATTGCCGGTTATCTGTACTGATGGCGCCTTGGAGGTCATGGCAAAATGCCTAAGCCCTTTGATGGTTGGCTCATGCATCTACCACCAATACCAAACATCATTCTACTGAGAAAAATTGCCTGTCGTCAACTGGCTCAGCTGCTGAGCATGTCCGTATCCATTCAAAAGACTGAGCCGACTTTATGAACCGTCAAATGCAGAGTTACCGACAACGCTTGCTATACACTACTTAGCTGCTGGAATCTATCTGCATGTTAATAAGTATACGGCCGGGACACTAATGCTACACTTTGTCATCGATTAACACGTTAACATTGTTACACGCATTAGGAACTAGTCTCTCATGGGTGCCACCGTCAGGGCAGTTGTGCGCATAGGCATGAATCACGAGCCATCCTGCTGGGTAAATATCCGACATTTACCAGCTAAGTTTTGACGACATGCTTTGATGCTCTGTAATAGATCTTCGCCAGTAAGCCGGACTGCTGCGTATGAGCAAGGAATCGAGCTGCGATACACGCCGATCATCGTATTCGGAAGATGACTGATCGATGCAACAATAGGAATACAAGATAATGCCGAGTCTGGGCTTCCATCAACGTCTGTCATTGCCAGTCTTGAGGCCACGATTCAAGGAGTTGCCAATGGTTTGCTTATTCGACAGAGTCCAAAGCCTCTGGGGGATTCAATCACCGACAGCCTTTCCATCATACTGAACCGGAAAATGCCATGGATAATCATCCAAAAGGCCAACTTACTTTTATTCTCACTGCAGCTTCGTCAATAATTCAACCGGAGAAGATAATAACAGGCCCCACGAGTCATGCATTGAGGCCGTTATATTCATTCTCAAATATCAACGCTGCATGAGCGAAGGGACCCAGCCTCGAGGTGTTATGCATGTCATTCCCTGGAGGGTTGTCGTGCCAGTCAAACACAAACTACTTCAAACCATCATGATGCCATGTCATGATTTGAGTATACATAATGCGAGGCGTGTTCTGAACAGTCGTGAGTATCTTCTGCAGTTAAAGACATTTTAGTGCAGAGTTCTGACTGATTGATTGAAGCTTAAAAAGCTATGAAAGCTATCTCAGTCATACTGGGGCAGGATCAGAAGACGTCGATACCTGTCCGAGCTTATTTATCTTTGCTAGGTTATGTTTCTTATGCTTTAGCCAGTCATTAGGGGTGATTGTTTCTGAGTTCTCTGATATAAAGCATAGAGAACACTTTTAATGTCTTCGGAAGTACCTGATTTGCCAGATTAGCGTTAGAACTTCGTCATTATCTATACACGATGATGTGACGATATGTAGCAGCGTCACAAGTGCATAACTGGTACAGTTGCACCTAATCGCCCAGAGCCATTCTTCGAAATCATGAACCGAATGGAGATTTGGTCAGATCGCAAGTTAGACTGAGAAGCATTGGTCTTTAGGCATTTACGACATTATTCGACAGCATCACCACTCAGAAAACCAGAAACATGTAATGATGTGACTGTTGGGGGTTTTAATAACATCAATGGGAGAATAAGAATACTAAGATACCCAGTAGGTAGGTTCCTATTACTACCTAACCTGGTAAAACGAAAGTGAGCTGCTCGCCCCATATTCACCCGGAAGGCGGCGTTGCTCCGGCCTAAAAATATCCTGCCCTGCGTCTGGAAGATTCCAGGAAAGGTGCTGCCTGTACTTATCGATAAGACACCTTCTATCTAGTAGTGGGTGGGAGATACAATGTCTACTAGCCCAGGTACTAACTTATGAAACGCTGTATTTTAGTTGGTAGCTTCTTCTTTGTCCAAACTGGGCTGACAAATCGACGTCACGCCACGAGAGTTGCAAAATAATCAGTTTCCTAGATCGAATTGTTGTCAGTTTCTCGATTCCTGCTTACCTCTGGATCTGTTTGTTAACGTTGGCTAGATTCCTTTTTACTATTTCTTCGGAAACGCCGAATTGGTTCCTGGCTTATCACTTGGGTTACCCTAATTCTTTTGGCTGCCACACCCAATACAGAGATATACACCTATCCATTCGTATATACCACTGAGTGGCGTCGTTCGATGTCGAGTGATCCCAACGGTCAACAGCAGGCTACTGTTCCTGCATCAGTATCCGCAGGAGGCTCTGCCGAGCCACCTAAGAAGATCCCAAAGGGTGTAGTACTGGGCCCTGATGGCAAGCCGTAAGTTTTGTCACAATCGACAGACACCCTGTAAATGGAACTCTATTCAACTAACCCTTGTTTAGCTGCCGAAACTGTACTTCTTTCGCTGCATGGGCTTCTCAAACAAAGAGCACACTCAAACAAGATGCAGCAGCCAAAACTCAGCGTCCTCCAACCGAGTGCCCTCCTGATGTTGAGGTGCTAGGCCGAAGTACATGGACGCTTCTTCACTCTATCGCAGCACAGTACCCAGAGAAGCCATCCACCGGTCAAAAGTCAGATCTTTTGAGCTTCGTTGGTTTATTCTCTAAACTATATCCATGCTGGGTGTGTGCCGAAGACTTCCAGGGCTACCTCAAGCGTGAAGCGCCACAGGTCAATAGCCGGGATGAATTTGGCAAGTGGCTGTGTGGTGCTCATAACGACGTCAACCGTAAGCTGGGCAAACCTGAGTTTGACTGTTCTAAGTGGGAGGAACGGTGGCGGACAGGTTGGAAGGATGGCCGATGCGATTAAGCTGTTGCTGTTGCTGTTCTGGTCTGAGCGAGCGGAGCTGAGGTTAAGGCTGGCTGCTGGATCGACGGTCGGGCCGGGAGCTTAGCGCGCATATCGATATAAAGATAGGCTTTCTCAAACTCGACTCATTGTGGTTTCAAAAAGCAAGGGCCTTCGGTGTGCGGTGTACGATTGCGGAATGGCATGATGGACCGTTGGACTTTGTGTGGATACACGTGGTGGGTGATCTACTAGAGACACAAAGAAAGGATTGTGGAATGGTTCCAACGTTGATAACCAGTTTCCATATGTTTCAAGAGGAAGAACAAGATGTATAGTATAGATAGTATGGGTAGGGATCGAAGGTAGAACTGCATGCATAGAATCTCATCTCAGGATAGTCAAGTCTAACATAATTGAATGCGTATGACAATCTAGAACAAATCCCACTGTATATTGAAAGCTAGGAAAACTATCACTCCATACCGCTCTCAATAGTCTTCGCCACCAGTTAAGGCTCCACGATTATGGAAAAGGTTACGATCCATCGGAAACATGGTATGTATAAACCACTAAAAGCAGTCAAGCTCAGGAACCAAGCGAAGGTAGAAATTCCCAGGAATCGGATCTCGCCAGTTGGTACCCTTGCATTGTGTTGTCTCGACCCGAGGATCCCTGTTGTTTTCGGAGAACTCCCTTTAGGCGCGATAAGAATGATCTGACATTCATGACAACGCCATGCAACGCAACTACCGGGCCGCTATTTTGGCAAAAAGAAACAAAAATCAAGCAGTCTCAATACGGTACTGTATGGCAAGGTTAGGGCCAAGGTGGTGTATGGATATATTTCCAAATCTCAGGTTACCTTACCCTAGAACGTCAGACCACACATGTCATTGTCCTTCTCAATCCATGCTCTCTAGTCGAAGGCGGCAAGAAAGAATTATTATGGCCCCGCAAATTTTAACACGACGTTGTTGGCGTTTGTGAGTATTTCGACGGCAAGGAACGGAAAGCAAAGGAAAGAAAAGGCTCGTCTTTGTGAATCGGACGTCGATAGTATGTTACAGTTCGGGATGAGCTTGAAAGAAGGGCCTTTTACGGACATAAGATGCAGCGAGTCATTCTGATTAATTACCGTTGTGCCAATTTGAGAAACCGAGTATGGGGACTTGTCAATGACAATCATGAACGTAACGGTTGTATGCAAGATGTCGTATAATGCGTTGCTGCTCCCTACTGGAATGGACAGGTTGGTGCAGTATAGGATTGCACTCGTTAATCCTCAGTATGGGTTTATCCAAGATTGTCGATTAATGGACATCCACCACCGTTGCCCATGTTAAAAATGAAAAGAATGGGTGGTCCCTGAATCTGATACCCGGTTGAGTTGGCCTGTATCTGTTAGCAATTGCCGTAGTTTACTGTGACGACGCCATTGTCCATTCCAAGTGGTGATCTTTATGGCATGGCCCCGGTCAGCACTCGGCCGCACAGCTCCGGACTACCCGGTCAGTGAGGGACTTGATGTTTGAACCATCAAGAACCATGTGAAGAATATGGATCCAAGTAGTAGATGATGTTTTGATCAGTGGAATAACCCCTGTACCTATATTGTTATTGATGGGTACCCATCTCCGGTTTTGGAAGATTTCCTTTCTTTTTCCATCGTGCTTGGCGGCATGGTCCTGTCCGTAAATCCCCTGTTGAAGAAGCATGCGATTTCTCTGACAGAGATCCACTCATTCTGTAGGTAGCATTGACAGCATAGACCTACAGCCCCTACAGCCCAAGAGGTGTTTCTAGACGTTCTTAGACCCGTCCACCTTTCAAGTCTGCCCGATTGGGAGGGTCCGTATCAAGGCACATGGCATCATATGATTTTCTTTCCATGCTTGTCGTAGTTCACCGTGGATTCGACAGTGAAAATTAGAGATACGAAAGAGGTAGAGAGCTACTGCATCTACTAACCACACGGGTCGTTACCTAGGTAGTGGAAGAGCCGCCTAACTTCCCGCCCAGTGGCGCTGACAGGACATTACATCACCACAGGCTCATCACACCCATTCACTGATGGAATTATGCTCACCACTTTATTTTCCAGCCGAAATCCCATCCAATCCAACTAATACTTTAGCAGTAGGTAGGATATAGGTTGCTGGTATCGCGGTTTCGGCCGCTTGAATACGGGCGCGAGCGATAAAATATCGTGATTTTAACACAAGAGTCATGGTCAATGGCAATTCAATTGATTTCCTTGCCTTATGTCCGCCTTGTCTCCTTGACAGGTCCGATTATACTCTGGGTCCAACTCTGGGTCCAGGCCTGGGTTACCTATGTGCATACAGTATGGTCTTATTTTTGGGCAATTCATCAGATCAGATCAGATCAACCCATTCGAGGTTTGGAATTGAGAGGAAACGTGCAAGGGTCTCCCATTGGTGAAGTGCTGACTGACTGCTGTGCTGTACGCGCCTCCACTATTGGAAGCTTCAACTTTACCTTGCTTGATATGTAGGTACTGTCTGTGGTGTTGTCAACGGAAGGTATAAACACCTTCCTTTCCCCTCCTCTGTTATGTCTTTTCTTCCTTCCTCATCATTCCATCGATCACTCAATCAATCATCAGCCAACCATTTCCATTCCTCTCTTTGGTTGTCTTGGTTACTTACAGCCTAGACATCTCACCTCACATCTATCTCCTCCTCGTTCAACCTATAAATAAGCTTCAAGCTTCTCTCACCCTTTACCCCTCCAAACAACTTTATCTTACCCACCTAGAATACTATCACATACCGATCAATCCGCAACCATGAGCAACAGCAGCCTCCAAAAGCCCATTGATGTGGCTGAGTACCTCTTCAAGCGACTCTACGAGGTCGGCGTTCGATCTATTCACGGTGTTCCAGGCGATTACAACCTTGTCGCCCTCGACTATCTTCCTCAATGCAACCTCAAGTGGGTCGGCAGTGTTAACGAGCTCAATGCTGGTGAGTTTCATCATGACTCCACTTCGTTCGAATAGCTTCATCATGATATGATACAATTTACTAACAACAACTTCCAGCCTACGCTGCTGACGGTTACGCCCGTGTCACCAAGATGGCTGCTCTCATCACCACCTTCGGTGTTGGTGAGCTCTCTGCCATCAATGGTGTTGCTGGATCTTACTCTGAGCACATTCCCGTTGTCCACATTGTTGGATGCCCCTCTACCATCTCTCAGCGTGACCAAATGCTTCTTCACCACACTCTCGGCAATGGTGACTTTGACGTCTTTGCCAACATGAGTTCTCAAATCTCCTGCAACGTTGCCAAGCTCAACAAGCCCTCTGAGATTGCTGAGCAGATCGATACTGCTCTCCGCACCTGCTGGCTCCGCTCTCGTCCTGTGTACATCATGGTCCCTACCGATATGGTCCAGGAGAAGGTCGAGGGTGCTCGCCTTGACACCCCTATTGACCTGTCTGAGCCAAAGAACGATCCTGGTAACGAAGACTTCGTTGTTGATGAGATCCTCAAGGCCATGTACGCCGCCAAGCGTCCTGTGATCCTCGTCGACTCCTGCGCCATTCGCCACCGTGTTGTCGAAGAGGTTCACCAGCTTGTTGACAAACTGGACCTTCCTGTATTCGTTACCCCTATGGGCAAGGGCGCAGTGAACGAGGATCATCCCAACTACGGCGGTGTCTTTGCTGGTGATGGCTCTCACCCTCCTCGTGCCCAGACCATTGTCGAGGAATCTGATCTCCTCCTTACCATTGGTGCTCTGAAAAGTGACTTCAACACCACCGGTTTCTCCTACCGCACATCTCAAATCAACTCGGTTGATTTCCACAGCACTCACTGTAAGGTCCGATACTCCACATACCCCGGCGTTGCCATGCGCGGCGTCCTCCGCAAGATCATCGACAAGGTTGACCCCAAGTCTATGCCTGCTCCTTCCATTCCCGAGGTCAGGAATGAGGTTGAGAAGAACAATGATGACTCAGAGACCATTACACAAGCCTGGTTCTGGCCTCGCGTCGGCGAATACCTCATCCCCAATGACATTGTCGTCACTGAGACTGGTACCGCTAATTTTGGCATCTGGGACACTCGTTTCCCTCGTAATGTTACCGCCCTCAGCCAGGTTCTCTGGGGCAGCATCGGCTGGTCTGTTGGTGCTTGTCAGGGTGCTGCTCTCGCTGCTAAGGATGCTGGAAAGGACGGCCGAACAATCCTCTTTGTTGGTGACGGATCTTTCCAATTGACTGCCCAGGAGCTGAGCACCATGATCCGACATGGCCTCAAGCCCACGATGTAAGTTATCAACGTTCCTGAAGCATCGGCGCCCAGACTAACTTTGTTTCAGTTTCGTTATCTGCAACGATGGTTTCACTATTGAGCGATTCATTCACGGCATGGATGCTGTCTACAACGACATTAACAACTGGAAGTACAAGGACCTCGTCAGCGTTTTCGGTGGTGAGAAGACTTGCAAGACGTTCCAGATCAAGACCAAGAACGAGCTCAACGAGCTACTTACCAACAAGGAGTTCAACGCTGCTGAGTGCTTACAATTTGTCGAGCTCTATATGCCCAGGGAAGACGCTCCTCGCGCTCTGGTTTTGACCGCCGAGGCCAGCGCCAGGAACAACGCCAAGAAGCACTAAATGCTTACAACAATTGATAGACGATATATTGGGAAGTGTGTTCTCAGTCAACAGATATTCAGGATGTGTCTGGCTGCATTTGGCACACTGGTTGGGGGTTCCTGTTTGGCTAATTATAACGGTTTAAATGGTTTACACTATAGAATGGGCACGATTCTTTATGTTTTATGTATTTTCAATTGAAAAGCGATTTCTCAACTCACTTGATGGTTCAAAATGATTGTCTCGTAGATTCTGCAAATTCGAATCTGCAGCTCTCGTCCATTGTTTACTCTATGCCTTTCATTTAATTGACACTGCATATGCACCCAGCCGATGATCTCACAGGACAGTTATGCATTAATTAGGACATGACATAAAGAAATGATCTATAAACAAAAACTCTCATGCTGGAAAGTCACTTTTCAATCAGACTTCTGATTGTATGTATCGTAGTAAGCTTTAGGTTTCGATCGTCTACCCTGCCGGGTAGGTTTTCAAAAGCACCACGTGATTCGCTCGCGCCAAAATTCTCCACGCGCAATGACCTCAAGCTGGATCAAAGTCTATTTGAAACGGACATCAAGACTCAATTTCTCGCCTTATCTTAGGAATATTACGGCAGCAGTCGACAAGAGTCTTATTTCAAATATATTGTCTGTTCACTAACATACAGTAACATCATGAGCGACGGTGCTGGCAAGCGGAAGCAGGGCCCTGGTGGCAATGGCCCAGCCTTCAAGAAGAGCAAGGTGAGAGAACAAAAGACGAGCCATTGTTCACAGTTGAAATTGGACCCAGAATAGGAGGGCTGTTGGATGGCTTTCGTGAAAGAAATGAGCTGACACTGATCACAGGGAGGCGTGTCTGGCAAGTGGCAGACGGCACACCAAAAAGCTAAGAAAACCGAGCAGATGGAGCTAGGGAGAACCTTAGAGGTTGATGATGCCGGAATTTGGGTAACTTACGCGAGAGGCATGAGGGGGAAAGCCATAAAGGAGTTCAAGACTGTATGCGACGAGGTATGTCACTCGCCCACCAGACCTCACTTGTCTATCCTTTGTTGGTATACACGTTCATTCAACTAACCTAATACAGTACGGCGAATCGCTGTTTGGGGTACAAGCGCCGAAGGAAGATGGAGAGGGCGACGATGATGAAGAAGGTGGTGATATTGAGGCTTCTATCGAGAAGGAACTGGCCAGTCTAGCACAGCCAAAGCCGAAGACAAAGCAAACCTTTACAGCCATTGGAACTGGCCTCGACTGTGTCTTTTTCATGAAGACAGTGAAGCCCATTGAGCCTCTTCAGCTTGTCACCAAGATTTGTCAGGATGCCAAGGACTGTCCGGACCCGATGCAGCGCAAAACCAAGTACATTAACCGCTTGACACCCGTGTTTGACACGGATAAGGCCACCGACAACGGCATTGAGCGTGTAGCTCGGAGTGTGATGGGCCCACACTTTGAACTCAAGAAAGAGCCAGGAGAGGATGTCCCAACAGCGGAGGCAGTTTCTTCAAATGAAGAGACTGCTGGATCTGCAGGCTGCACGGTAAGTCGATGATATAATTCGCAAGAAGTGTCGTCTGAGAACCTAACAATCTCCCCCCTTACAGTACGCTATTAGGTACAACATCCGGAATCACACCGCTTTCAAATCGAGCGACGTGATAAAGAAGATTGCGGATTTAGTCAGCCCTAAACACAAGGTCAATCTAAACAATCCCGACAAGGTGGTATTGGTTGAGATTTTCCAAGTAAGCGATCCCCCCTTCGCGTAATCCACCCATCGCCGTGTCACAGCAGTAGACTAACTAGCGTCGAGACGTTCTGCGGAGTCTCGGTTGTTGATGGCAAGGAGAGTGAGGAGCTGAAGCGTTACAACCTGAACGAGCTGTACAAGGTGGCTTTGGACGAGAAGAAGAAGGAGAGCAAGCCTGCAGCCGAGAAGGAAGCTACGGCATCAACATAAACTTTGAGCCATTCGTGTATGGAAGCATGTTTTTGAGCGGCGGTCGATGCAGAACAATCGTCATACCAAGCGAGCCGAGCGTTATCTCATGGCTACACAACAACCGTCCGATTCGCGCGGTTCGGCCAAGTCTTTCTATGCCGCGGTACCAAAGTACCAGAACGCTTTACCCGTCACTTGGAGGATGTTGAACATCTGCCGAGATAGGTTTTCAGAACTCACTATGTTAATCTCGTAAAGCATCCACTTGGACTCATTATGGAAGCATGGGTATAGAGCCCGTTGCAACTCTGAGGAGTAACAACGCAACCCTGGATTTGCGAGGTTTGGCTTGAAGGGTGGGAGAGGATATTAACTAACGCGGCCACAGAAGGATTGTCGCTGGTGGCTTGTCATGTATAGGACGAATGAGCATATGTCGTCCTCAAGGTATCAGAAAAGTTGGCCGTTGGAAACACAAGAGACGAAATTAGTGGGTCAGTTTATGCTACTCAGACTAGATTTCTTTGACTATTTATCTTTGTACCCTAAGACTTGGGAGGCCAACTTTTCTATCCACTAGATCGTGTCCGTTAATAGACAGAGTTTTGTGGAAGTCCGCAAAAGAACGGGGTTTCTACAATTGGGTTCATCCCTAGAAGGACTTTTGTCGCTCCATAGTCCAGGTTTCGTAAGCTACTGCCACCTCAAGCTGGGATCGAGATACGTAGGGGCCGTTTTTAGCGGACAACTCAGGAGATTGTTGTCCAGCCCCAGCTTTTGTTGCACACACATGACACACGGGATGTGTGGGACGTGCCGTAAGGCTAAGTAAGTAGGATGAGCGGTGCAAGATGATGGATGACTGGACTTGTTGTTCATGTGAGGGGGAGGAGAGCGTTTTTTTTTTGGTCATGCTTACATGTGCACACTTGCGTGCGTATTCGCACATATATACAACGTTGACGTTTCAGAGGGGGCATATTAAGGCCCTCGTATGTTACCAGGAGGACCTTTCAAAGTCAAGCCTGTTTAACTTAGGTCATCTCTCGTCCGCTGCATTCCCGAGTAGTAAGATTGAACCGGGAGTGGCTTGAGACGGACCCCAATCACTGTGGTTAGTTGTGAGAGCAGGTTCCAAGTGCAGTATAGTAGGCGAAGGGTTATGATAGAGCGATAGTTGAGTTAAAAGGTAATAGTAATAGTAACAAGGTAGTATTGTAGGTACGTGCCGAAAAGTAAAAGAACAAACAGCTATCAGGGGATGGGACTTGACAGGGATGGTTTAGTTAACTTGGCGGAATGCGATCCAGGTCAGCTTCGCTTGTTTTAGCCAATCATAAATTTCCCGACTCGCTTCTCGATGCACGCCAGAGGCATGGGTTCATTTAGAGTCTGACATTCCGCTCATCATCAGTTTTATTCATAGACGAAGGAATATGTCAGATGGGACGTGTAGAGAGGGTTGTGACCTGTTCTACTCAAAGAGTATGCCTTAATAGATGGGCAATTCTGACAGAACAGTTCCAGTGAGAGAAAGAAAGAAAAAAGACGTTTGCTACAGAACAGCGGGTAATATAGTTAAGCTTGATCGAGTGCGGTGCTCGTTCCGGTCCGCTTTGCCCATGGCGATCTGTTTCTTGACTAAACCTTTTGCAACAAACAACAAACAACAACATAATAAGAGATGAGCTATAATAGGTCGCCAGACCGTTTCATCTCGTCTGTTCGATCCTTCGATGCTTCTACTGCAGTTCTTCGGGGAGGATTCCGCGTCCTTATGTCTTGGCAAATTGGGGGAGAAAAGAGGCTTGAGGCTAAAGGCTGCAAGCGGTTGCCCACTCGGTAAACTCAACAGCTAAGTAATTGGTTTAGTGGTGCTGTGCGAAAAGTCTCCATGTTTTCTCTGGTTTGTCGCCAGTCAAGTATGTGACTTGCTTTCAATGACGCCTCGCTTCGGCTTCACCGTTCTGGCGGGACAAGCAAGACCTTGCAAAGCCTGCATAGGTATCCGTACATACGGCTGGGTCTGGCATCGGGTCCCTACGTGCCGATGCTCCAAACTCGACATGAATCAAACTGTGAAGAGTAAAGGTTAAGGTAAAAGGAATAGGGGTATCGGTGAGTTCAGCTCAGTCGTTGCCCCAAGCTCCATTCGTGAGCATCATCATCATCACTATCAGGCAGTCGTTGTTTCTCTTGAAGAAAATAAAGTTACAATGCGTTTCTTGCTTAGCTGACTACCTAAGCAAGGTCAAGTCTTGCTCGCTACGTCGACCATTTACATTCCCCGTCTCTCGGCTCTAGATTCCGCCCTCGTGAGCGTAGACCCTTCTCAACCTTTACCTGAGGTACCTTTGCTGCTGGCAATTGACCAATCCCCCATGGCTAAACAACCGCATTCCCATAATTCTCGCTTCTCTGATCTTTTGCTGACCAGCGGTGACATGCATCCCTGTCTAGTCATTCCGCTTTTCCCTTTCCATTAACATCAACATTGCCAGCCATGCATCAGCCTCACTCCCTCGGGTCCGAAGGATACCTGGCTACCTACCAACCAATGTGGGCGCTTCGCTCGCTAATACACCTTCATCTTCTTTACCCTCGTCAGTCCCTACACCAAAGGCACCTTTTTTTTGTTCTTTCTTTTTCCTGTTTGAGATCTGATTGCCTGACCTGTCGCTTTATTCGCTTGCTTTTACATACGCACGAGGCGTTCGAGAAGGCGAAGCCAACCCATGTATCGAAGCTAATAACCAACTTACCATCTCCAACCCTCGCAATACCATTTCTTTATATTACCTGCTCATAGTCTTATGGAGATCCTCTCTTAACATTGCCCTATAATCTACCAAGCCACAAAGTTGGCTTGACCAAGCAGATACTTTCTCTCTATACTCTCTCCCCTCTGCTGCCATAAAACTTTTGTCTCATCCTGTGTTGCAACAAAAGCATCTCTCTATCTGTGTATTTGTCTACGAGGCATGCATCGCAGACAACATTTGTACTCGGTTCTACTTTAGAGGGAATCTGTCAAACTCGTAAGAGGCCGAAACCCATTCTTTTACGGGTTGCTGCAAAATCATCCTTCAACCATCGCCAACCATCGCCTTCTTCTAGCCGCCATTCTTTTCCCGAACATCCTACGACCACACATTTCGCTTCGCCTTCTCATATACCCGTCTCCTTATGACTCGGCTGTCGTACCAATGCACCCTTCGGGACGACGGCAATCTGCCCCTCCTGAGCCATTGTGTTGCGCAAAAGAGCTGCAACCTTGTACATGACAATATACCCCGTTCGACCCGAGACTTGACCTTTACTAGATCCTCTTCAACCGACCCTACTTCTGCCTCACCTCTCATCCACATGGCGGCTGCTCCGCCAGAGAGTTCAGTCCTCTCCCTCCTCAATGGTATCAGCCCTCGTCTGTCAGTCAAGGAACTCGAGGTTGTCCCTTCAGCTAGGTTACAACGCCTCTATAATGTTAAAGTCACAGAGGGCCCGAGTCTTTTACTGGCATTGCCTCCACCTCCAGTTATACGTCTGCTACGATCTGAAAAGTCAACACTTGGTTCAGAAGCTGCTGTACTGAAGTGGCTTTCTTCTGATCCTAGAGAAAGAAAGGTCTGCTCAAGTACTGTGACGAATGAACCCATGGGCAAAACCACTGGGTCGACGTTGGGTAGCGACGTTCCTGATAATACGTTGACCGGCTATCTGCCTCTGCTCGTTAGGCATGAGTCCCTTGCTGGCATGTCGCCAGTTGAATACAACCTTGTCCGACCACCACGAGGTACAGCCATACCCGTCCTCTCTAAATCTTTAAGTTCCAGCGAACGAAGGGTTCTGGACTTCCAAAGCGGCCAACTTCTCCGTCGGATAGCCAATCAGGTTTCACCAACGAGAAAATTCGGTATTGCTGCTGATGTACTCTCGGTCCCTCCCTCAGTTGTTCATCACCCACCGCTACGTTTTGAGGGAAGCTTGAGCGAGTCAAAGGGCGCTGATTCATGGAGAGTAGCGTTTCATAGCTTGATGGAATCTGTCCTTCGTGACGGTGAGGACTTGACCATTATGCTCAACTACAAGAACATACGACATCAGTTTGCTCGCTTTGCACATCTACTCGACGCGGTAACAAAGCCTCGGCTAGTTGTCATAGATGCCGGAGAAGACTCGAACACATTAGTGCACCGTACCTGCGAAACTTCAAAGAAATTCAAAACGCCTGCTGAGGAGATGGAAGGGGTGCCGGAGTCGAAATTAGCACGAGGAAGTTCCAGAAAATCGGACCTGGTGAGGAAGAGGCGATCAGACTACAGAATAGTCGTTCAAGACGATACCAATGGAAAAGAAGATCGTGCAATTACCGAGGAGCCAGTAGCGAAGCAAATCGAGCTAACGGGATTACGACAATGGAGCAACTGCATCTTTGGCGATCCCCTCATAGCCTCTGTCTTTAGCAAGACACCGTCGCCCTCGGTCGACTTCTGGCGAGGTTTCGATAACCCGATACCAGGCCAAGAAACCTCTTTGCCTAACATCATCGAAGATAAGGAAAACGCACATATCCGAATCCTCCTATACGAATGCTATCACGCGTTGGTAGATCTTGTGGGAGAATATTATAGGCCGCAGAATGATAGCAGTATGAAAGAACTCGCGGCGCGAAAACACCTTGCCAGTGTGCTAGGTCAGCTAGAAGAGCTTGACGATATGGACCGGCAGCGGCGTAGACGCCCCAGTGGTGAGATGTCGCCTGCAAAGAGGCCGCGGTCTGGCCAGGAGAGTGAGGGGGATAGTGAATCATGACGAACACAATGTGTCACTGGCTGACAGCTAGGCGCTGTTAACTTGTAGTGTCTTACACACGAAGACATAAATATTAGACTTCTTTCACTAGAGTTGATGCACTAGATCAGTACGCACGTAACAGCTTCACAAAAGTCCAGTTTCTATCTTGTGCCAGCCAGATTGACCTAATGTTAGATCAATACTTATGCTTTTGCTCCTCTCCTCCCCTTTGACGAACTGCCGCCAACCTCATCGCCTTCCATGCCGCTATCTTCATCTTCGTCCCGTGGCAGTTGAAAGCCCATCATGCCTAGCAAATTGCCTGTTGGCCCAGCCATACCACCCTGGCTCTTAAAGCTCTCCAATAGATTCTTTGCCAGGTTGTAATCAATATCGACTTCTTCCTCGCTACCCTCTTCACCTTCCTCTTCTATATTTGACAATCTAGTTTCCCCTTCTTTCTGGCTTGTGTTCTTCAGACGAGGCTGTCTCTCAGCGGAAGGGTCGAGCTTAAGAGCACCGTGCTCATTCAGCTCAGCCTCGAACTCTGTGGCGAGCTTTTGGATTTCCTCCTCCTCTTCATCCACAGCTGGCGGTTCAGGTTTGTGTGTGGTTTTCATGGGCGTGCTATTGTTTGGATTTGTAGATGGTAGACCCATCATCTCTCTCATCATTTTGGCGAACTCTTCTTCGTCAAAACTGACCTCTTTATCCTCAGACTCACTATCATCGTCGGGTTCATCGTCATCATAGTCCATTTCGTCAAGCTCCGCGCCGTCTACTCCAGCACTGTCGTCATTGAGAAATGCTTCGAAACGAGAGACGATTTTTCGAAGGTCAGATTGTGTGTTGGCGTCGCCAAACCCTGACTTTGCACTGGAAGCGTTGTTCCCTCTCCTACCATCTAATTCCCGTTCGAATTCTTGGTAGTCAATATCCATCCAGGCTTCGCTGTCTTCTCGGTCGGCATCCTTCCACGACTTGATCTCTTCGTCCGAAGGTAGAGTATCAACACCGTCCTCCTCGAGGTCCTCGAGGACAATAGCAAGCTCGCGTACGACTCTGTTCTTACTTCTATCAGCCTTTGCAGCTAACATTTCGAATCCGCATGTAAGTTTCATTCCAATATCCAATCTCGCCATGATCTTCTCCGCCTCGCCTGATGGCGCCTCCTTTTGCGCTCTACGGAGCACATCAACCCAGATGGATGGGGTATCGAATCTCTGGGATCGCAGTTGGGCAAAAAGTACTTTGCTGAACCGAACAGATGCCGTTATGAGGTCCTGGGGCGAAAACACTGGCGGCCCGGATGGTGAGATGACACGTTTCAGAGCAATGGGGTCACGAAGATAGAATATCTCGACGGCTGGTGCAACTGATTTGGGAAGAGAATGTAGAACGTATGCTAGTTTCCTTGGTATAGTGACGAGTGAATGGTGAATAGAGTCGCCGATATTTGCCGGATACTTTTCGAGGCGGTAGAAGGCCTCGGCTTCAACAAACCCTGAGTGTACAAGGGCTTCACGTTTTGTTCTGAGGATTTCCACTGCTTCTGGAAGCTCAAGATTGCGAGCTTTGAGACCGTCCTCATCCTTCACTGGAATAAGCAAGAGACGACCCGTATTAATCCAAGTTCGGTTATTGTCGATTTCTGGGTTCAGCCATCTTGGAAGCACATTTGCGGCTTCGACAAGCAGAAACTCGCCATCTGTGTCAAATACCCTGATCCAGAGTTTAGGATGAGACTTTGATAGTTCCCGAAGGATATATACAATCAACCATTCATCCTCTACGGCATCGCTATAATCGGTGATGCCATGGAGATACAACAGGCCTGTCGTAACAATTAGCACGTTATGTCGGAGTAGTAGCCAATAGCACAAGTCTGATACTCGCCATTCTCATTTTTTAGTGTAAGATCAAACTCGTCTTTTTGCCATATATAGTCTTTTGTGAGAGTACTGGCAAGGTCTATGGCCGACTTCCGAATATTCTCGATTTGTGAAAGTTGCTTTCGAGAATCGGGTTGAGGGTCCAGGAAGAAAAGTAAATATTCCACACAATTGTCGGGTAGGTGATTTTTGAAGCTGGCATCTTCCGTCTGGCTTGATTCTTGAAGAATTTCCTCCTCTTCTATGATTGCAGATCTAAAAGACATGATAGTTTGGTTTTTTTGTGAACTTGTGAAGTTGTTGTCGAGTTGTCAAGGGAGATAGATTGAGGTAGTGATTTTACATCGACGGCAGCTACCGGGTAGTTAAGTCCGTGCCCGCTGACATTAGCGACAGAAACGTGGCACTGGAAGCACCACTTATGCGACACGCTCGTCACGTCCCCCACGCGTAGAGTGAAAGAAGGACCCCAAGATTCAACTGCCATTTATCAATCTAACCCAATCTACCTCCTTTGTATGGACGGACAATGAAGTAGTATTCACTGCTGACCTGCCTTGAAATTCTATACCCAAATGCAAACTAAACTGTCTCGTCATTCGATATTCGTTTGATTGAATGCTTCCCGTCTATGGTCGACATTCGTGTAAAGGTTTCCCACCTCACATCATTTGAGACGTCGCAAGGCCGTGCGCATCGCAGCCATGGCTCCCACCAAAAGATCGAGGCACGATGCTGAACAAGACGAAGAAACTACAGATGTGCAGAGAGCGCGATCAAATTATAGGGACGGAGATTCTGTAGGAGCTACAGACATGACAAATCATCTACACAATCTAACATCTTCTACAGAGAAAACGCGCCAAGGTCACTCTTGATGACGAAGGAACAATAGAACGAACCCCTCAACGCGAGGAGACATCAAGCGACGACAGCAAGGATGACGACGACGACCGCCGACAACGCAACCTACCCCCTCAAACCCAGTACGAACTGATGCGAGATGACGGCTTCAAGCATCTTGAGCACGCCGACTGGGATGACCAACAAGCGACTCAGAAGTTGGCCCAGCGGGGTAACACTCTTGGAAACAACATGGTATCTGAAAGCGGTATCATTGAAAGCATCACATGCTTCAACTTCATGTGCCACGAGCGACTGCACGTCGATCTTGGTCCGCTCATCAACTTTATTGTAGGGGAGAATGGAAGCGGGAAGAGTGCTGTCCTTACCGCCCTGACGCTCTGCCTGGGTGGTAAAGCTAGTGATACCAATCGAGGAGGAAGCCTCAAGTCCTTTGTGAAGGAGGGCACTGAACAAGGAAGCCTGGTCGTAAAGATCAAGAACGCTGGTTCAGATGCCTATCAGCCGGATATTTACGGTGAAACTATAATTGTCGAACGGCATTTCTCTAAATCCGGTAGTAGTGGATTCAAGATCAAGAGCACCAATGGTCGAATCATATCGACAAAGAAGCAGGAGGTTGATGAGATTTCGGAATGGTATGCACTGCAGATTGGCAACCCTTTGACTGTTCTGTCGCAGGACAACGCGCGTCAGTTTCTCAACGCCGCAACGCCTGCCCAAAAGTACAAATATTTTGTATCTGGTGTGCAACTGGAGCAACTAGACAACGATTACAAGATGTCACAGGACACACTTGACAAGACGCTCATGCTCAGAGATGACCTGACGTCAAAGATTGAACAAGTTAGAAAAGAAATGGAAGAAGCCAAACGTCTATCCGAGACAGCACAAAAGAACAAGACAATGCGCGAGAAAGCACGGCACTACAGAAATCAACTGGTCTGGTTCCAGGTCGTGGAGCAGGAGCAGTCACTCGCCGAATATGAGAAGGACCTCGTGAGACGGGCCCAAACAATCATCGACAAGGAGCAGTATTGCGAAACTACGACAGAAGAGCTCAGGGTGATTGAAGAGAAGCTCGAACAACGCCGTCAAGCGAAGGAACAACTAGAACAATACCGGGAGTCCTATGAAGAAAACATTGCTAAAGCGACGGAAGCACATCGGGAAGCAGCAAAGGATGAGTCTGAGTTACTCATGGAGGAACGAGACGCCCATCAGCGTCTCAAAACAATTAAAGATGACATCAAGGCCTGCAAATCCAAGATTCAAGAGGAGGAACGCCGATTGAGTCAGTCGACTGGAAACGCTAGAGCCGAAAAGGACAATGAGCTCGAACAGGCCCGGGATAAGGAATTTTTGTTGAGGCAACAAATGGAAGAGATACACAATAACCTTCCTGACTTCCAAGCTCGGCTCAGCGAAGCTGAACAGGACTCAAAGAAGCTTTCGCACAGCAAAGACATCAAGCGTAAAGACATCGTTTCTGTCGAGCAACAAGTCAGAGAACTCAAAGCAACAACAGGAGGTCGGTATGATGGCTACGACAAAGAGATTCGTGATGTGGTTAACGCAATCGAAAATGAGCGAGGGTGGGAACAGAAACCCGTCGGGCCTATTGGAGCACACATTCGATTATCAAAGCCCGAGTGGTCAGGCATTCTGGAGCGTACTCTTGGCGAAGGACTTAATGCATTTGTTGTCAGGAGTAAATCGGACCAAACAAGACTATCCAATTTGATGCGTCGATTCCGCCTCAAGAAACAACCACCAATTTACATTGCCTATGGCGGCAAAATCGACACAAGCAGCCAGGAGCCGGATCCAGCCTTCGATACCATTCTTAGAGTTCTTCAATTTGATGATGATATTGTCAGATCCCAGCTCATTATTGGCAATCAGATCGAGAAGATTATTCTTATTCGTGATCGAGAAGAGGCTCAGAAAGTTATGGTTGAAGGTGTTCCTCCGCGCAATGTAGGGGCTTGTCTCTGTTTCCATGACGGACAGGGTAAGCGAGGATGGGGTCTCAGGCTCACGAATCGTAACGGCTCAATGGCAACAAGTCCTGTCCAGCCATATACTATGCGGCCCCGAATGCAAACAGATGTCGGCCAACAGGTTCGGATTCAAGAAGACAATCTCAAACATCTCGGTCAGGAGATGGCCGAGGTCAGCCGAAGGGAGCGTCAGGCACAGCAGGCAGTTCAACGATGCAGGGCGGAGCTTGACAATCAACGCAAAGATCACAGGAAGCTCGAAGGTGACCTTCGCCGAACACAAGCCGATATCGAGCGTATCCAAATGGAGTTGGATGCGTTCGAAGGGGTCGATGGTAGACTTAATATTCTTCGAACAGAGCTGGAGTCAAGGCGGTCCGATGAGGAATCCCTTGGAAATCAGTATGGCGAAATGGCACTATCGAAACGAGACCTGAAAGCCAAAACTGAGAAGGCTCGCCTGAAGCTTGAAGAAGCCAAGAATGATCAAGAGGAATTCGAGGGCAAGGTTCAAAAGGCATCCCAAAAGATTGCTGCTGCTGAGAACATGAGGCGAGTTTCTGTAGCCAAGAAGAACGACGCTTTCGAACAGGCCGATATTGAGAGGAACGAAAGGCGTCGCGTTGAGGAAAAGAGAGAACACAAGGCAACAGAGGTGGCGCAGTTCATCGAGCAAGCGACAGAGGCAGTACCAGAGCGCGTGCACATTCCGGACGACGAGACATACGACAGCATTGAACAAAAGTACACCAAGCTTAGAGAACAACTCAAACAACGGGAAGCGCGTATTGGAGCTACGGACGACCAAATATTTGACCGTTCTAACGAAGCTGAAGAGCGATACAGCAGCGTTCAGAGGCAAACCAAGGACTTGGACGACACTATTGCTTCCCTGAAGCGTGCCATCCATAGCCGCCTGGAAATGTGGCGCCAGTTCCAGCGACAGATCAGCGCACGCATTCGTATCCAGTTTAACTATCTTCTCAGCGAGCGAGGTTTTCGAGGTAAAATTGACCTGGACCATAGAAATCGCAAGGTCCACGTCCAAATTGAACCTGATGAGACGCGCAAGAGCTCATCGGGAAGAAACACAAAGACTCTTTCCGGCGGAGAAAAATCATTCTCGTCCATTTGCATGCTGCTGTCAGTTTGGGAGGCAATTGGTTCTCCAATTCGATGTCTCGACGAATTTGACGTGTTCATGGACAACGTCAATCGTGCTATTAGCACAAACATGCTGGTGAGAGTAAACCATCAATTCAATGTATTATTACACAATCTAACATGATGATTCAAATAGGTGGACGTTGCTCGTCGATCGGTTTCGCGTCAATACATTCTGATTACCCCTAATGCAATTGAAGGTCGGGCGAGGTTGGACAAGGACGTCAAGATTATTCGGTAAGGTACCCCTTTGATTTTTGCAGTGGCTACTCATCATTTGCTAACAATATCTAACCCAGACTTACGGATCCTCGACAACGAACACTTGATGAGTTCCGCTAGATATTGTACTCGATATGTTTCTGAAGTTAGGCGCTCAACGGATTATTGGCAGGACACTCAGAGGGTTGGAAGATAAACTGGTTAAGTCCTTGTGGAGTTTATCGCGTGTGATACCAGAGAACTTGTGAAATCGTTCTGTACAGGAATGAACAGCGTAGATATGACATTACAACTTGCGCCGACTAAGGCTTTTTTCTATATTCATGGTTGATGGTATACATGGCTTTTACAATATTTTACAAATGGTTCATTCTCCACCATTCTTTGATGGAACGTAAGCTCTTTCAGACCCTTACGCCCTTGCTCCTTAGTATATTGACACCAGCGCTGAGTGTATACCCGGCCCATTGACCAAACGATCCAACCATGCCACCGACTGACTTGACTTCGCCAAGTCTTCTCTGAAGGAATTGTCTTGTCTCAACAAAATCAGGGGATCGATCATTTGTCATGAATAGCTCGCTTGTACTGTAGATCATAGATAGAGTGGCACGCTTGGTATACCATGAGGGATCGACGGCCTTGTCGCCAGCAAGGAACCAAATTTCGTCTGAGAGTTTGGCAAGCTCTTTTAGGGACTCGGGAACGTAGCTGGGTTGTGCCATAACGGCCAATGCCTACAAAACAAGAACGTAAGTATCTAGGGTATCCCATGAGTTCGGCATCTGCCCTACCTCTTGCCAACGGCCCAGAATCTCCTTGTTGCCCATAAGCCGCTCCCATGTCAGAGCCTCTACTCTTGCCGCAACACTTGGATGATCTGTATCAGGAAAGATTTCCCTGCTGCGAGCTGCCAAAGCTTCTCGCTGGATAGTTAGATGGTATCGGATCAGGCCAAAGGCGCCATCGGGGATAACGCTTGCACTGATGTCGAGATAACCGGCATCTCTTGCTCCACGACCGAGAGCTTTCTGAGAGAATCCGAGTTCGGGTACGTGCTTGTAGGCGGCGGCAAGGATGGAATTTTCTGCATCGCCAAATGGTCCTGGTGGTGGTGGATGATCGTATGAGTGGAAGGGTCGGCGAGAGGTCAGACCCTGTGTCAACCTTGAGGCGCGTAGGACTGATGCTCTGGGGAGGCTTCGAGTGGAAGCTGCCATATTGAAGATCGGTTTATTTTTAGGTATTGTATTGTATTAAATATGGCGATGTCGCGATTTGGGCTTCACATGGATCGGCCGTTTTTTCTGGAGTTGACGGTTGCGAATCCATCCCCCAATCACAACAATTTAATGGTGGGGTGGGGGACTATGACAAAGAGCTCGGGCCACTCCCGACTGTCTTTACGTTGTATGGAATCAGCGGGCAGTCAAAAAGTTCGCTTTGGAGTAAGAGATATGTTAATAGGTATTTAGTCTGTGTTATAATGCCGCTATAAAATAAAGAGTTCTTGGCACAGTTCCTTAGGTGAAATAGAGTAGCTACACCAAAATACCTGAGCAATACTTGCTCCAGATTATGGCATGTGATCGTTATGAAATGAATGATTACTCTACGCATTTACGACTCCTCCAGTGCTGTACATCAGCATAGTGGGGCTTCGGTACATACTACAAAATGTCGTACACTACTAAGTTGATATGTACTTCTCAGCAAGCGATTGCGTCTGATCTGATATCCTTGTAAACGAGATGTTTTTCATGCTACTGTGTCCTAGCTCAAGCCGTGTCTTACTAGCATGGATCAGTTGTTCACAATCAACCGAAAAGTCCTCGACTTCCAACCCAAGTTCATCTCGCATTGCGAAATCAAAAAGCCCCAACCCCAAGGACTACTATATATATATATATACTGTAGGTGGTAACAGTAAAGCTTTAGAGCGAGGGAAAAAGTCGGTATTAGACTTTAGAAATCGTGTAAAACTATCAAGTAGGTGGTAATAGTAGTAATCGTATCATCCTGCCGTATGCAACCATCATGCAGATGCATGCCTGAAGTCGGATATTTCCAGGTCTTCTACCAAGGTACGGAGCGAGCTATGAGGCAGCAGACAGCCTGGAGTGGAAGTGCGTACTTGGTACCCTGTAGTTACTCCACATTGGATGCTAACGGCCTGAGCGTAACCAGACACATCGTCAGGGATCCGCCAACAACCTTGATGATCAGATTCGGACCTGGCATGAGCCTGCTTACGGGTATCAGGTCGCCCGTGATGTTGGTACTGACTGCATGGCATCAGAGCATCGTGATATCCACGTTTAGGGAGGGACATCTGGGCCTTTCCACCACGTGTTCTTCGGCTTGTTCAGTGATGGCCAAATTACCCGAACGCTTATTACTAACACCATGTCAGGAGGAAAGGCCGCTCTTCTTACCTGCTTATTATTAAGCCTGCCTGAGAGTGTGATGAGACAAGCAACAAGGCAGCTAGCAACCCTGATCCTCAATGCGCTGAAGAGGGGTTGACAGCGGTAAATAGCAACTTATTGGTTGGCTTTCCTTGCGACTTGCAGCGATAGCTGTTGTGTAACAATCAATCTCTCTGTGCGCAGTTAGCGGATCGAGATATCACACAAACCAATTACGGCTCTCGTTGCATACATTCAGCTGCACTTGCGATGCTTGACTAACTAGACACAGTTTCAAAATCGTTTCGGTAGACTGTTCATCGGATAGCAGGGTTCATCCATTCTTGTGCGGGTTCTGGTATTGGTGGCACTGCAGAAAAGTACGTGTAGAGTGAAGTGAGTTTGTGTCGGCATCTATCTAATGGACTTCGCTTCCGTAGATTTGTTGAGGTCGGTCGACGGCAGCGGCGGGTATATCTCGTTGGAAAACTCATTGGTTTCAGCCCTACGAAAGAAATTGGCAAGTCCCTTTCATTCTTGCGCAACAGACACCGTATGGTGCGAGTGCGGAAGGACTGATGGATCTAACTAAGCTGCAGATCTGGAGACTAAGAATGAGCATGAAATCAACAGTTACCCAACACGGCATGACATACCCATGAGCTGTTGTTATAAATTTGCCTCTCCTTGTTCCTGGTGTTTTACTAGTACTTTGGTCCAATAATCGCTCAAGGAGAGACACTTTAGGCTGGATTGTGAAACTATTACTAGGTAGGTACTAGGCAAGCATCGCATAAACAAATTCAGCTACCAAAACTGGACCATGGCTACATGCGTAGACAAGAATTTGACGAGTGCTTGGATATCCTGTGGTAGTGCAGAACACTATGTTACTTTAACCCTGGAAGAGTGTAGGCCACCAGTGCAAGACAACAGTTCCAGCACCTTGCAGAACTGGACCTCTGGTCCTGTCAAAACCCGTTGATGATAGCTGATGAAGCGGCGTCCCGCGAGAGCTGAGGAGTCTCGATTCTCAATGCTGATTGATATATATGATTTCGAACTAGTACTATGATATAATTTCGAGTTGGGATGAAAACTGAGACTTTCACTTTCGGCAATATGGAAACGAGCAAAATAATCAGCGTTGCTTGAAGTCAAACTGTACATACATATTGAAGTTCTGACACAGACTAACAAGATAATTATCAGTAAGCCCGCGTAGAGAGACAGACATGCCCCAGTTAGAGTCCCGAAACGTGTGTGCTGCAAGTCAATAATATTGCCACAGTAGTCCTGACTTTGACATTGTGTTCTGTACTGTATACAGTAGACTGGTAACGTAACTTTCATGGTACCTCGTGTTATCATGCTCATGTCCAGTAAGCTTTAGAGTGGATCCCATCACGTCCCTGTCCTGCCTGTGTCCCTGGTCTTACCCTGGTCCCGTGTCCTCATTCGTCGCCTGGTCCGTCCTCATTTCTTGCCCGACGCGTTCTTTTCTTTTTACGACACAAGAGGAGTGAGTGAGAAGAACCTTGACAGTCAGCACTAAAGAGCCACAGACTTCCTCAACCATCGTCCTCCCATCGCTGTCGTCTTTTCAAACCCCCTTGAAAGCGCCAGAAGCCGACACTCGGCGAAAGAAAAAAAGTCGACCAACCTGACCAACCAATTCCCCGACGCTGGTATCTGGTACTGTACCACCACGCCGCACGCCGAGACCCTTTTCAGCCCAGCCCAGTCAAGCCAAGCCTACATATCCAGTCCGCGCGAGTGAACTGTGATTCATTTGTGGCCTGCATAGTCCTTCCTGGGTGCTTGCTTGCAATTTTTATGCGATAACCGCAACTGGTTGACCGTCCGTGGATCCTGTTCGTGGCTTGTCTTGTTTAGGCCTTACTGTCCAGGCACTTTTATTAGCCTACAGTAACGACACCTTGACTGCCTACGCACTCGTCACCCCCATAGTAACCTATCTTCGGCTCATCGATCGCTTGGTTTCCTAATATTCCACTACGAAACGTGGACACCTACGGCCCGTCTCCGCTCCCCTCCGCGACCTACCCTTCCTAGAAACTGGTCGCGCCAGTTTGTCTGCTGCCCGAACTCGCACCCGTCACTCGTCGCTCACAATACCTACCAACCTACCTTATTACGCGACAAGGACACCCACCCCAACCAAAAGGGACATTTCTTTCTGTACATCCAGACAAAAAGACAGACAAAACGTATTGCACACGCGATTGAACAACAATCACACAATGGGTATGTTGATGGTATCTTTCGCTTGGTTCCTCTGTTCCTAGTTTCTTCCCGTGGGCCGCAGCAGTTGTTGCTCGTTAGGTATACTGTGATGGCTGGCCATACACTCACTCACGCGTCTGCGAGGCAACATGCCGGTCTTTTGTCGTTTTGATCTTGCGTGCCCATTGTCGTCCTCGAAGGCTCCTCGAGGCTCGGCGACTACTGTAGTTGCCCGGCCCTAGCACATCCATCTTCTCCCGGGTCATACTGAGCCCAATTCAAGCCATGATCTGAGTCTTTTGGCTCCCAAAGCCCGAACACAACAGATCCTGAGCTTGCCTGTTGCTGCTGTGTCTTGCATTGTTGTTGTATCTGCGCATGCGATCCCACTCCTTGGAGTGTCTTCATCAATCAATGTGATACCACTTCTTGCTTGATGCAGTCTCGGGCATCCCCCATTCCACTCCAACAAAGCCCTTCCAGTCGTCTCTTCCTCGCATCGTCCTTCCCCATCCATTCACTGCATTGCATTATCGAGCCCCCTTACCTGCATCTCCCGCCAAGGTCCACCCGGCTCTGCTACCACCCCTCCACTAAAGAGGTTGACCTCTCTGCCTGCCTCAACCGACCTACCATTACTCCCTGTTACTTCAAACACTCTTCCTCTCCCTCACCTTTTTCCATTATTGCGCATCTTTCGCAGAGGTTCTATTCTTTCTTAACTTGTCCGATTCTGACGCTCACCTTTCTATAGCTGATTCCGGTGATACTTATCGACCCGTAAGTAAATTGATTCATTCATGGCTTTCCCCAACTTCACCATTCAACCGCACCTGCCTGTTGATGTTGTCGCCTCTCTTCTGCGCAAATGCTCTACCGCCATGCCGAGCTTGTGCGCCCCCCCGCGTCAGATCGGCTTACGGCCTTTGCTCCTCCCCACTTTCTTACGAACCCTGAGCGCAACTTGAATATCTGGAAGGAGCTCTCGACAGCTCCATTGACCCGAGATCGGCTGTCGCGGCGCATCTTGGTTGTTGCTTCCTGTTTTGCTATGTGCCCACAGACAGCTGCCGAGTAAAGCCACTGCTTAGCACTGCTCGTTTTTTGACAAACGGGCAATGCGTTGACAGTGACAGCAACAACGGCGGGCAGTGAATCAATTCCATTTGCGCTCGCAACCTTGCTTTACCCGAAACATATCAGTTCACAATACCCCTCATTCTGCACACCATTGGCGTTCACTTTACTTTGCGAAATCAAGCTTCTGACATGGCTTCCTCACTTGTGCTTCCCCCAGCTAACAGTCTCCAGCGTGAGAGGTCACGATCTCCCCGCAGACGCTCAAGAAGCCCCGAAAGGTCACACCGACGCCGCTCCTATTCCCCCCGCAGCCGATCAGGAAGCCGGGACGACTATCGAAGAAACCGTGATCGTTCGCCCATGACTAGCACAGGCGCACCAGGTGGAGGACCAAGTGCTGGATACGGTGGACAGGCCCCTCACCGATCTTACGAAGAACGAGCCGTTGCTCGAGAACAAATGATGAACAACATTCGCGAATCGTCCCAACAGGACCGCCGAGTCTACGTCGGTAACCTCTCGTACGATGTCAAGTGGCACCATCTCAAGGACTTCATGAGACAGGGTGAGGCTTTCAACGCCGCGGAACGCAGGTGGAATACATGGGACTGACGAAATGGTATAGCTGGAGAGGTGCTCTTTGCCGACGTGCTCTTGCTTCCCAACGGAATGTCGAAGGTGGGCTTCATCGCATGATTTTTTTTTTCTTTCCTTTTCCCTTGGCAGGCTTTCCTTTGTGGTTCTTCATTCCCTCTAGCACTTATGGATGGTTGGGTTGACGGGTGGGACGTTGTCCTGGGTTAATTGTAGGGATGCGGGTAAGTCGATTCCGATCCCAAGCTCTTGGAGCCCAACTGACAACTCTATAGAATTGTGGAATATGCGACACGGGAGCAAGCCCAAGCGGCTGTTGCCCAACTGAGCAACCAGAATCTCATGGGTCGTCTAGTCTACGTGCGTGAGGTAAGTAACAACATCCGTAAGTCATGCTGAGGCACCACACTGACAGAAACACAAGGACCGTGAGGCTGAGCCTCGGTTTATTGGAGCCACGGGTGGAAATCGTGGCGGCTTCGGCGGCGGCGGCGGCGGCGGTATGCCCGGTCATTTCAACCCTGCATATGGCGGTGGTGCTCCTGGCGGTGGTGCTCCTGGTGGCGGCGGCCGCCAGATCTATGTGGCCAACGTTTGTTCAACCCCGGTTTGTGTGAATACGATGGACAAGAGTTGACGTGCAGTAGCTTCCCTTCAACGTAGGCTGGCAGGATCTCAAAGACTTGTTCCGTCAAGCTGGTACGTATTGTTTTTTTCTTCTTCTTTCGGAACCCAGGACCCGGTGGGACTGGAATCTAACTATCACATAGCTCGAAACGGTGCAGTAATTCGAGCCGACGTCCATATTGGACCCGATGGTCGTCCCAAGGGATCTGGCATCGTTGTCTTCGAGAGCCCCGACGATGCCCGCAACGCTATTGCTCAATTCAATGGCTACGATTGGCAAGGCCGTGTTATCGAGGTTCGTGAAGATCGCTACGCCGGTAGTGGACCCGGCATGGGCTTCGGTGGCCGAGGTGGCTTTGGTGGTGGCATGCGCGGAGGATTCGGTGGAGGATTCGGCGGTCGCGGCGGCTTTGGCGGCGGACGTGGTGGTTTTGGAGGCGGCTTCGGTCGTGGAGGATTCGGCGGAGGTGCCCCTGGTGGACCTGGCTTCGAGCCCCCTGCCAGCTCTGTCCCTCCCAATCCTTTCACTGATTACGCCACAGCCGGCGGTGACAGAGGAGAGATTATCTATGTTCGCAACGTAAGGCTATTCCCCGCATTATGTCAACACGAGTCAACACTAACCTAATGTACAGCTGCCCTGGTCGACGAGCAACGACGACTTGGTCGAGCTATTCACCACAATCGGAAAGGTCGAACAAGCCGAGATCCAGTATGAGCCCAGCGGCCGCTCCCGTGGCACCGGCGTCGTTCGCTTCGACTCAGCTGAGACCGCTGAGACTGCCATCTCCAAGTTCCAGGGTTATCAATACGGCGGTCGTCCCCTCAACTTGAGCTTCGTGAAGTACCTTAACCAAGGCGGAAACGACGTCATGGACACAGATCCTCACGTCGGCTTGACTCAGGATCAGATTATGTAGGGGAGGTGTGATCATGCATACTGAACTTGGGATTCATACAGCAATGTTCTGTTGATCATGGTCAATCTTCCCCATAGGGGGATTACTTGCCCCCTTTCCTCATCTTTTCCTTTTATATTGGCTTGTTTCTTTTCTGATACTTTTTGTTTTTTCACATCAGCAGTAAAAGCTGGAGGATATCGGCGGTGGAATCTTGATGCACGGATACGCGGTCAAAATCATCATTGGTGATAGGCCGACGCTTTATCCTCTAATGGGCCGAGGAACTCGGGGCGACAAGGATGTCATTACGGGCTTACCAAACAGCACCGACTTGTCTCATTCCCACGTCTCAACCAAGGCGAGCGGTTATAAACAAGGTTGCGATTGTGTCAAAGGGTGAAGGGATAACTGCTCGGGCTGGCAGCCTCATAGGAGACTGCACGGCGCTACTTAGAATGTATCTCGAGTAATCATCCGAAGGTTTTTAAGATGAACGATGGCAGGTGGTCGTGGTGAAGGGGAAGACGTAGGATTCGTATGAACATGCGTGCGTAGCATCTTGGGGCAATACCGTCAGTTCGCTGTCAGAACGACGATATAACAGAAGGTAAAGGCCCCTTATGATTGGAAGATGAATACCGGCGCTTGGGAGTAACCTGACCTGATTTTGTCGCATGTTTCGAGAGAATATAGTTGCGACCTCAGGATCAGGAATCATAACGAGCTGTCTGAGAACAGAGCAACTAAAGCTCCGCTATTGTGTGTCTTGGAGCTAGCCATGGCTGATGGATGAGGCCCACCTCAGTTGCCTTTGTTGTTGACACATTGACCCCATAGATATCGGCTATAGCATGGAAAGTGAAGCTCTTGATCATAGGCCTTTTCGTGGACCTGGAAATAATGCGATGTCTCAGCTAGTGGTCATCAGCCTCCATTGTGATGAGCATTGCCAAGATAAACATACGCAAAAGTAAAGGTCCGATAGTCTTCGGCGCGCGACGACTATAACAGGAACGCTTTGTAAGCTCTGATAATTGTGCTGGTTTATCTCATACGAGAACAAAAAAAAGAGCCAGTGGTATCTTGTTTCTGGTGGATACCGCGAGTACCAAGCCGGATGTTCGAATTGCCGTACTCCAAGGACCTTTTTGATCGACATCTGCCAAGCTTATAGTCATTCCTCTGTCAGGACTGAGCTCCCTTGCCTAATGCCGTACAAGGATAGCTGTTTGGCAAGTGCCTTCTTGTGCTGCGCAATTACCTTTTGACTTAGGTAAACCAATAGAAAGCGGTTCTGTTTAAGCTTCGAAATAAGCTTGTCTTGTTGATCCCTCCGTGCCGGGAATTGGCGCATCTGTAGATCCCCTCCTTCACGACGCCAAGTAACCTTGGCAAGTTTGCTTTTTTCCAATAGTAGTATCTAACGTACAAGGACCAGTGTTAGCATCTCGGGAGATGCGATATCGCACGATGCCGAGTGCTAGGCTGACGATTGACGTTATCACCAATATTAGTACAGTTATATCCACACGAGCATACGTAAGAAGGCTATACCCAGAGCTAACAAGCATTTACGATTTTTGTTTGGCGTTTTGTTGACTAAAGAGCCTTGGCATCGTCTGTAGGGTGGCTGTGGTGGTGCTAGCCTATGCTTGGAGTTCTTGGTAAGTCAAGTTGCGAGCGTCACTTGGACACTCCGGTAAGGGATAATCTAGTTTATACTCTATCTTCAAGCAAACGAATACTTGACTGAGGGCTCCCTACATGTTTTGATTGCCTTGACGCACCCTGCACACTAGACTATTCAGGCTTGGCGGCCTGTTAGCTGGAATCCTTGGGGGAAGTTGCTGGGTAAAGAATTCCCGACAAAGGCTTCACGATGCTTTGGGAAAGTGATATGATGACGTTGTGATGAAATCTTTGGCTAGTCGTCAAGATATCTTGACTATTCAGAATTCTATAAAGGAGCACCGGTTGCCTCAGTTTCATTACTATCATCACTCTCATCACTTCTCCCACACAACTACTGTACACTCCATTCACTTCCTTCTCATCACTGATACTCGTTTCTCTACTCCAAAACAAACATGAAGTTCTCTCTCTTCGCCGTTGCCATCGGTACTCTTGCTGCCGCCTCTCCCACACCTGACATGGAGCACGAGAAGCGTGTCCTTGGCCTTCTCAAGCCCAAGAGTAGCAACGTCC